GCACTTGTGTGCGTGATTAAGGGCGTGAAACTCTGAAAGTATGCATGATTATTTAGAAGGCAAATGTGTGCGAATTCTCACTCTCCTGTAAAGGAAGTCACGAGGTTATTTTATAACTGTTGTTGGTGAAAGATAGGAAGGACCTCAACGTCTAAGGGATTTAATGGAGTTGGGTGACTTACCAATAGCCCTATGAGTGTCCTAAGCCTCGGAACTCTGGCTGAAAGTCTCCACGCAATGCTCCTTTATCCTGAATTTTTTTTTAGGCTTATGTTGTTGGTCAAGCTAGATTAGTCGATGAAGGTTCGAGTCCTATCATACATGCGAAATGTAGGTTGGCTAGTGAAACTCCCAACAATTTCCGAACAATAGGATTGTTATGGATCTAGAGTCGCATAAGCATGAAAATGAGATTTTGCCAAATCAAGAGTTATCATTTGCATTAATTATGCATCATGTAATTACACTGACAATGTGCTCCTGTTTATCAAAGCATTACCATTTTAGGTCTGCTCTATAACCTCTTTACTTGCAAAATTTAGTGAGGCTTCTGGATTGTTTTTCAACCCTGAGAAATCTAAGGCTCATGCTTCCAAAGGTGTGCTTCCTCGGTGTAAATAGAAAGTTTCAACAATTACCAATATTAGGTTTACTAACAATATTAGTGAGTATCTTGATTTTTATGTGGTTCATGGGAGGGTATTGCGTAGGGATTTTGACCATCTTTTTGATAGGGTGAATCAAGGTTTAGCCTCTTGGAAATGAAGACTTTTAAGCAAAACAGAGAGAGTTTCGTTGGCCAATTCGGTTATGGCAACCATACCAGCGTATACCATGTAGTTGAGTTAGCTTCCTCAAGTTGTGTGTAATTCTCTAGATTGTCTGTCTCGAGAGTTTATTTGGAATGGTGGAGGAGTTAGGAAGTTACATCTTGTGTAAAGTGGGACACTCTTGTTCAACCCTGTAAGAACGGTGGCCTTGGCATTAGAGTTGCACATCTCCAGAATATTTCGCTCCTTGGTAAACTATTATGGGATCTTTTTCACAACCAGGAGAAATTTTGGGTTCATCTAGTCTATTGAAAATATCATTAACCTACTATTGCTCTAATGCTTGATGTGCAGGGATCCTTTTTCTACAAGTCCCTTAGGAAGGCACTCTTGGAATTAAAGAACGGTTTTCGTCTAAAATTAGGCAATGGTCAAGCTAGCTTTTGGTATGATGTTTGGTTTCAGGGTGTATGCAGGTTCCATATGTACACATTCATAATGTAGATTTTCGTATATGTGACTTCGTTCAAGGAAATCGTCTTCAACTTTAGCAATTATATACTCCTATTCCTGAGGACTTACGTGCAACCTTAAAGCGTCTACTAGTTGTATTTCATCTTGTTGTATACGATATGATGATCTGGGACAATAATATTTTTGGGCACTATACTACCAAGGATGCTTATTTGTGGCTGTTGCACGAAAAATTTGGAACCCTAGATAATTCATGGGGTTGGTTTTGGACATTACAAGTTTCAAAAAATCTTCGCTTTTTCACCTGGCAACTTGTGCATGAAGCTCTTCCTACGCGTCATTTCATGGTTTCACGTCATTGTGAGACTTCCTTGTTGTGCTCGTGTTGCTCTAATGTTGTTGAAGACCTATATCACTTGTTCTTTGAATACTCTATTTTGTTGCAGGTGTGGCAGAGGTTTGGGGTTGATGTGCAGTCTTACTCTCGGGATACCTTGGTGTGGAAAGATTAGATCTACTTTCGGTTCATCATGACAGTCTACTTGTGATCATCATTCTTTAGGAGTTGTGATTGTTCCCCTATCCTCCTATTTAGGCTTGTTTTGAAGATTCAACATCTTGTTTATGATATTGGGCGTGTTTATCAACCGGGGGGAGGCTCTTGCTTCTCATGTTGCTAGATGGGTCTCCTGTATTCATGCGGTTGATTTTCAAGTGGCTCTCTTCATATGAATGGTAGCACACATAGGTGTCCTAAAGTTGCTAGGTTTGGGGGTCTAATCCGTGATAGTCGTGGGTGGTAGATTGTTGGCTTCTATAGAGATATTAGTGTGGCGAGTAATCTTTATGCGAAGTTGCAAACTATTTTGCATGGTTTATAGGTAGATTGGAGCAAAGGTTTCCTAAACGTTATGTGTATTTCGGATTCACAACATGCTTTAGAGTTTATAAAAGTAGCTTGGACCCTTGTCATAAGTATGTAGTAGTGATTGCTTCTATTCAGGACTATCTTTGTCAATCTTAATTGGTACTTTTACATTACTCCTTATGGAAGGAAAATCAATGTGCATATTTTTTGTCTAAGTTAGGACCTTGTTGTGGTAGTGCCTTGGAGATAGTGAAACTATTTATGCTGAGTTGTTTTTACTTCTTCAAGCAAATGAGGCAAGAACCTTGTCTCTAAAGATGTAATTTTTTTTTCTATTTTTTGTTCATGTTCCCGTCTCACATTACCAAAAAAAAAAAAAAAAAAACTCCATTGTCCACTTTTAACATCCAAACAAAGGAAATTTAATTTCTTTTCTCTTTCCTTCCTCTCCCTTCAAACTCTTTCCCTCCCTCTTTTCTAAACCCCAAAACAAATATTTTTAATAAATAAATTAATTTTATAAAATTTATATAAAACAAAATTAATAGATATTTTATCAAATTATTTTTTATTTTAATATATATTATATTTTTAAAATATAAAATTTTAAATAATATATATACAAATATTTAAATTATACAAAATTTAATATGCATAATCATTAAAATAATTTAACAGTAAAATTAGTCAATTTCACAATTTATTAAAAAATATTAAAAATATAAATATTTGAATTTAACACAATATAAAAATATCTCTATTACATTATTAATTTATTTTATGTTTTTTATTTGCCAGTAAAATAATATTTATAGAAATACACAAAGAAGTATATCTCACTCGTGATTCTTGATAAGTAAAAAATGCAGTATTTTAATTAAATATTCTAACAAATTTTTATTTAGTAAAGAGAATAATTTCACATGTAATATAATTTTTTAAAAATTAATAAAATTATATAGTGGAGATTGAAATATAAATCAAATGTGTTTTTTTTTTCAACATACCAAAGTTTAATTCTGATCCTATCAATTATTTATTATAATTTTATATTTTAAAAAACTATTATTTTTAAACTTTAGTTATTATTAAACAATGATATGTCTAACCTTATCACATGACTATTGTATCGTATGTCATTTCTTTTTAAAGTATGAAGAAATAAAAGCAATATCTTTAAAAAATAAAGACATTAATTTTATAAAGATCAAAGTTAAAATTAAATTCAGTACATTTCTAAGGAAAAAATATATATTCAAGCTTGAGAATATTGAAGATAAAATTACAAAGGAGCATAAACTGTTCCAATATTTTCGAACAAATCTAACTTTTACGTTGCAATTTTACTTTTTTGCTTCAACTTTAACATTACATAATTAAACAGTTATTAGCGTAATAGCATCTCTATGAGGTTAATTAAAGTAATTGTAGCTTAAGAGCAGGTAAGAAGCTTGGTAATTTCGCACATTTCGCAGGCTTTTTAAGCTAATTTTCATTTCAGTTATACTAATAATGTTCACCTTGGAACAGTAGGAGAGGGTAGAAGGCACTATTATTTCACAACAGTAACACCCCACAATCTAGACCTTACTTCTAACTTCTATCTGATCTCACTGCTCCACAAAAACAGGTACTAACTCACTTTCCCACTACCCATCAACTCCATTTTGTTTTGTTGATCTCAATGTTTTTCTGGGGATGAGAAAATGCCACAATCGTCAAGGAAGGTGAGGACAAATATGGTATTCATGGTGCTCAACCTCATTGTCTTCACCCTCTCATAGCTAAATGCCTTAATGAATGGTTTTGTTGTTTCCCAATGGTGCAAGAGATCACTGCTCTTTTCCAATGCTTGAAGCCTTTTTTTGTGGTAAAGATCCAAGCTTTGGCTTGTCCCATTAGCTACTGTACAATTTAGGAAAGTGGGGCTTTTGTTTTGTCCCTTGTTTTCTAAATGCCAAAAAATGAAAGGAGGAGGAAAACCCTCACCATTTGCATAATGTGGCTTTGTTTTGTACAGAAGGTCATCAACAGTTTCCCCAAAGTGATCAGGTTTTTTTGTTGTGATCATACATGGAAATCATTAGCTATGCTTTGCTAGGGTGATGGATGCATAACTTTTTTTTTTTTTATTGTTTTGGCATGTTTATGATCTTATTCCCTATCTTGTGTTAAACATGCATGAGATGGAAGAAGATTGTGATGTGGGTCTTTAGTTGCCATTTTGTCTGAAATTTGATTTCACTTTCATATCGACTTCTATGATGCCTTGGGGTAAGGATCACAAGAAAAAACAATAAGGAGAGATGCTGTCTTGTAATAAATTTGGATGGGTGTTTGTAGCTTAGTTGGCAGTGAAATCCCGATTATAGTGCATCATGTCTTCAGGGTATTAGAAGAAATGCATTCTTTTTTATGCTTATTTACTCTCTCAACCAATCAATGGTGTTATTATTATGATAGTGAAGCTGTTTGAATATCACCGCAGAAAATCCCTTTTGTATCACAAGGAAATTATTTCACTGGTATTCTAACACATGCTGGACGATCTGACCTCCTCTCCTATTGTTATAATTTGAATGATTTTAACCCAACAGGAAAAGAAGCATTACTCTGCCATCCTTCCCTCATACATTATATCATGGAAAGATTGATTTTTATTAAGGATACAATTTATTTACTCTTTAATCCTTTTCTAGTTAAATTATAGAGGTGTAACCTTTATGAGCAATGATACCTTGTCATTTATGTTCTGATAAATTCTATAAATATTTGCCTCTCTTCTACTATTAGATATGCCTAGACCATTTTCCTTTTTGTTCTCTTTGAACTTTTTCTGTTCTCCACTTTTATGTTTCATGATACTTGATATTCTTCTGGGTAAAGATATGATATCCTCAAATTTCTCCCAGGTACGTTCATTTTGAGGGCAAAATTGAAAAACCACTCTCGTATTGGGTGATGACTGATGAGCTAAAAGGACAAAACAGCTAGCAGAATCCACCTGTTTTTTGTCTGCATCACTGAATGACCGGGGCAGTTATTTTTTAATTCTTGAATTGTAAAAGAGGCAGTGCAGTTATTTTACTTTTGTAGGTGTGGTTGCTTTAGATATAACATATGGCAGTTCTTAGACCTGCAAGTTCAAGTTTTGTAGCAAAGTATTATTCTCTAGCTCCATTGAGGATTTTACGTGGTCTGGTGTGCCTGCTTGTGCTGCTTTCAACAGCATTTATAATGTTAGTGTACTTCGGCTTTATAAGTGCTGTTATAGTGAGACTTTTTAGCATAAGTTACAGCAGAAAGGCAACTTCTTTTTTCTTTGGTGCTTGGTTAGCTTTGTGGCCTTTTCTATTTGAAAAGATCAACAAGACTAAAGTTGTATTTTCTGGAGATATTGTTCCTTCTAGAGAACGGATCTTACTGATTGCAAATCATAGAACTGAGGTTGACTGGATGTATTTATGGGACTTTGCCTTGCGGAAGGGATGCCTTGGATACATAAAGTATGTACTTAAGAGCAGCTTGATGAGACTTCCAATTTTTGGTTGGGCATTTCACATACTGGAGTTCATCCCTGTGGAAAGAAAGTGGGAAGCTGACGAGTCAACCATGCGCCATATGCTTTCAACATTCAAGAATCCCCAAGATCCTCTCTGGCTTGCTCTTTTCCCAGAAGGCACTGATTTTACGTAAGTCACCTGTGATTCTTTTTCCTTGTTACTAACCTTATGGTAATGGTCTAAAACTTTGTTACATTACTGCATACCTTTGCTTGTGATCATGATGCTGGAAAAGAGTCAGGTTAATTTATTTGAGAATCATATGATTTTCTCTTGAAACAACAATAAAAAAATAGCAAAAGTATGCTGTCACCACTCTTCAAATGGTGACTTTAAAACAGAACTTGCTTCACCCCCTACCCCCAGTTTGAGTTTATGTAGCATATGTGACTCTGTTTGTGTGTGTATTCTGCTAAAAAAATTCTTGTCACCTATCTCTCTCTTCTTGTAGCGAGCAAAAGTGCCTTCGGAGTCAAAAATATGCTGCTGAGCAAGGGTTACCAATTCTGAAAAACGTTTTACTTCCGAAGACAAAGGGCTTCTGCACCTGCTTGCAAGAGTTGAGGGACTCTCTCTCTGCAGGTTGTCATGTTTGTCTGTATTTCCTCTGTTAATACAATATTATTGGTAAATTATGTAAGATATATTTTATTTCTAGTTAGTCCTTGTTCTCATCCCAGAATTGTGCATCATCAAGTTTGTCTTTTTCCTCTGACATGATCAATGGGAAGCAGTGTGCCATCTGTCTAATGTCATTTAGCACTTGTCAAACGAAAATTCTTGTGTCATTGGTTTGAGTTCATAAACAGGCCACCTATTGATTGGAGACCTTGGATTGCCTTGTATGGAATCTTTTTTATTTTTGGATAAATTGATGTATATAGTTTGTTATTTGCAAAAATATCAAAGTTATGGAGGTTGGAACATGGAAGTGTAATAATCATAAATCATATTATCCTGCCACTAAGATTTTTTCAATTTTTCATTGTCAGTTTATGATGTGACCATTGGCTACAAATACCACTGCCCATCTTTCTTGGACAATGTCTTTGGGGTGGATCCTTCTGAAGTTCATATTCATATCTGCCGCCTCCCCCTTGATTGTATCCCAGAATCTGAAGAAGAAATTTCCATGTGGTTGATGCATAGATTCCAGTTGAAGGATTGGTTACTTTCCAATTTTCAAAGTCAAGGTCAGTTTCCCAATCAAGCAACAGAAAGGGACCTCTCTGCTGTGAAGTGCATTTTAAATTGTATGACAATCATTATGTTGACAGGCACATGCATGTACTACAGTTTTTCCTCTGTTTGGTTTAAACTTTATGTGTCTTTAGTCTGTGCTTATTTGGTTCCAGCCACATATTTCAATATTCGGCCACTGCCCATTCTTGGCCTTTTGAATATGCGATCAAATTGCCTCATTTCAAATACTTGAACAGGTAGAAGGCACTGACTATAATCCATGTTTGACTGTTGTATTATTGTAAGTATTGGACTTACCATCACATGCAATTATATCTTGTTTAAAAGTTGGCCTGATTAATTAATTTGATAGAATGTTGGACAACCAAGTTTTGCTCAGTTATTGTTTTTCATTGCTTTTTCTTTTCTCTAAACGAGAAAATTAAGTTTCTGTTCATTCTTCTATGGGTACAAAAATGGTGCATGTGTGCTCCTTGCAAAGGAGTGACTAGAGTGAAATAGCCATGGCACCAAAAGGGTCATCAAACTCATGTCTTACTTGTAATTCAGTTTGAAAACTCCTCTGAGCCTGGCGATGGAGGTTGCTTCCTCAATTGTAATGATTTGCGAATCATGCCACTCTTCTTGAGTTTGAGCTTAAGATTACAAACATAGTTTTTTCCCCTTGCAACTTGCAAGAAGTCTTCACTGGTAAAGCTTGATGACTATCATGTTCCAAATGCAATTAAAAAACACACTCAGCATTGCCTCTACTTATGCTGAACATGAACTAATTTAGGAACACACTAGATCAGTTGAAGTTTATTTTTTTTATAAAAAATATTTGTCTGTGGGTAACATACTCCGTGGCTATACTATATTGATGATAAAAATAAATGGAATGGTGTAAGATAAAATAAAATCACATTAGGTTCAATTGCTTGGTTTTTTTAAATAGGATTTTTATTTATTCCTAGTTAAAATAGGATTGATTATTTTTATTATTTTTTTAATTTCATCCTTTCGTAATCAGCCCAAAAAAGTATCAATCCAAGTACCGAAATCAACATGAGTTGATGGGCCTCTTTTGGGTCCATTAACTAAAAAACAAAAAATGTATCATTAAAATGGTGGTGTTTTTCCATAAAATGAAGAGAAGAGAACATGAACATCTTTGCACAACAACAAAGTACCACCCAGAACCAGTGTTATTCTCCTTCTCATCTGACTTCTTTTATTGGTATAAAGCTCTCACTTTTCCTTCCTGTTACAAAAATTAAAATGAGTAATTTAGAAATTATAAAAATTAAAATGATTTAGAGGTATTAACGTTGAAGATAAGAGTAATTTGTGGGGGAAACATCCAACTATAGTGTACATTTAATATGTTTTTGACTTTTTTTTCTGTGTATTTGAAGATTTTTAAGCATGAATTTAATATAAAAGTTTTAATTGGTGGCTAAGTAATCTCAAATTTATAAGAATTTAAATGCAATTGAATGTGCACCTACAAAGAAAATTTCTTACACAATGAATGGAAATTATCACTTATTTTTCTAATTATTATTAAAAGACTAGGGTGAAAGATAATGTTATATCCATTGAACGTGACATTTATCCTATCATGATTAGAACGATGGGCACCTAATTTGCCATCCATTTTAAATTTTTATGCTTTAACGCCTTCATTATCAATCACCGACTTCCGTGTTACTTGCTTTTCTTTTCTATCTAATTGGTTTGTTTTACACACGGGAAGGAAAGCAAGTCATAGCTTGTAAGATTCTAGATATGCTGCTTCTTTCATCTTTCAATTGTTCCTTAGGGGCAAAGTTTATCCACATTGAACAATAATCAATCCCCTTTTGAAGATAATAATTTTATATTCTTTTGTATCTACCTTTCAATTTCTACTTTTGGATTTAACTCTCAGGAATTAATATATATATATATCATTAAATGATTGAAATTTATTTTCTTTATGATGTCATCAGTGATTGGTGATTTTGATTTCTTAATTCGATTTGGATGAATAGTCTATTGTGTTTTTTCTAATCTATTATATGTATTTATTGAGCTTAAATATTGTGTACTGAACTTTTATGTAAGACTTAATGAATGAATATATTATCCATGATAGATATTGAGTTACATGTATTGTATAAAGAAGACGTGATCCCTATTTAACTATGTGCGCTGTAACTAATCGTAGTTTCATCATTGAAATGAAAGTTATAATACAAGTGTACCAGCAAAACATTCTATTACTAGCATATGCATTTTGATCACGTGATTTCAAGAATCTCAACTAAAAAGAATGACGTCAAGAAATATGTAAGAATATTGCTTGTTTACAGCTCATTTCAACAGCTTTACTCCTCTATATCATACTTTATTTATTTTATGAATTTAATTAAAATATATCTAACATTGGGTGTAACCATCACCTAATCACAAATTATTATATTATTGAAAATTGTTGTTAGCCTCTATAATAATTACTTTTAAAATCATATCAAATGTAAAAAAAATAAATTTCCATATTTAAAAAAAATTGAAGCCTTGTTTTATAGTTAGAAAATAAATTTTAGTTTTTTTAATAAAAAACACATTTTAATGGAAATATTTGGTTTAAATTAATTTACACACGTATTCTCATCATATTCAACATTTTTCAAATCAACCTCTTGTCTAATTATTTTCTCAATGTATTTCAAGATATATAAAGGAATCATAAATTAGTTTGACCTCAGCAAACTATAAACAAAATGGAATCATAAAAAGAAAGGGAAAAATATACATTAGTAAATTGTATGAAAAGAATAAAAAATTTAGCTGCCACTGTTAAGACATACCAAATATGCCCGGTTATTATCTTCAACATGAACCTATTTGTGTGTGGATCCATGAATCAAGGAATTTCAAAAGATAGACAAGGAAAATGATGTATTCTCCAACACAACAGTTACTGGCTAGCTAGACATAAATATTGTCTTCAATTGTGGGGATGCTTTATGATTCTTTGCAGGACCACAGTTCTTGCCCTCCTAATGTCCCTGCTACACATATCAGCTTGAACTCCTAAATCTTCAACATTCTTCATAAACACTCCCAACTTCTTCTTGATCTCCCCTATTGCAATCTTCACAGCTTCTTCTTCAATTGCAAAATCCACATTATGCAACAAAGATTCAATCTCAATTTCAAGCCTATCAATGAGAATGCGAATGTTGTCCAAGTCCTTTATAGCAACATAGGTACCAGCTTGCATTGAGGTTATTACTTCCTTCTGCCCTTTCAATGCATTTTCATAGTTCCTCCAAAGAGAATCAATCCACTTTCCCGTGGAACCAATTGGGATTGAGGTGGCGGCAGCTATAGCAGCAGCAACAGGTGGAGCTGCAATAGCTGCTGCCACTACTGAGCATATCAACACAGCAGCAAAAGTAGCCACAAATATCATGCTTGAAACCTTCCTCCAAGAATGGATGTATTTCAGTTTCTTATCAAGCTTGTTCTTTCTAAGTTGTAACTTTTCAAGCATGAGTATGTGGTGCCTATAAACGGATTGAAAGATTTGAAAGAATTCTTCAGTGAAAGGGTCACCAGCTGCCTTGAAATTCTTCAATTCTTGTAATGTCCTAACATAGCGGTTGTCTCCTAACTCTGATTCCTCCTCAAACTGTTGAAGAGCCACAAGGATAAGCAACTGGCTATCGCGTGCTCGCTTTAGGCACTTCTCCAATGCAGTGCAGAAATCTAGTGTTTGAAGACTGTTCTCAAAGTACTCTTCAACCAGTTCAAACAGTTCTTGGCTCTTCCATATATCTTTCTTGCAGTCCAAGATTACCTTCACAACTTCCTGATTCATCTCCAAAAGGCATTCTGTGACTTGCTTTAGAGAATCAAATGAAAGAGACCGAACTTCAACACCAACTGCAAGAGTATTGATAACCTGATTTGTTCGAGTTTGAAGTGTGCTGTCAAAGGACTGCAAATCAGAATCAAGCTTGCAAGCAGCCTCATAAGAACTCAACTCAGTTTTGTAGTGCAATTCACTGCTGAGGCTAATAACTGATGAAGTTTCAGGGATCTTCTTGCTCATATGACTTCCCATTGAAATGATCTAACAATAACAAAAAGAGAGTGGAATCAATTTAAGTTAATGAAAACCGAATTATGACCTTTGGTGCAATTATAAGAGAACAATGAGAAAATACTATTATATTAGTGTTTTAAAAGAAAATTCAAAGGGTGGTTTATCAAAGAATTGCATAAATTAGAAACATTACCATTCCAGTCACACAAAAAGCAAAAAAAAGATGTTGAGATTATGAAGGAAGTAAGCGGATCAAACAGACCCAGATATTGAATTTGGAAAAGCTCAAACCTTTGAAAGCGATTGAAGAAGATAAGAAACCAAGGACAAGGACAACGAAGAGCGCAATTGAGCTAAGTGAAAGATTTTGATTTTGATTTTGTGATTGCTAAAAGGAGAGAGGAAAGGGAGATAAAGGGTAGAACTTGAGGTGGAAGGGGAATGCAGAATCTTAAAGAGAATTAAAGGTGTTAAGAACCAAGAAATGTGGGTAGGGTGAGATTTGAGAATGGCTTGCACGCATGAGAAAAATGAGGTATTAAAAGATGGAAAATGCGAGAAGCAATGACCCTTCTCTCTCTCTCTCTTCTGTGTCTCCCTCTTCCCGTTTACACTACATAGTGCACAATTTTAATGCGCAAAGTAACAAGGATTACCTATGAGAGAAGAAGTTAGAAGCAACCTAAACTCCAAAACAAAAAGCACAGGCTTCAGCTAATTACGACTCGTTAACCACACACAACATAGTTTCTGAACTACGGACAATGATGGAATGGTGTGGGTTTTTTGTAGAACAAGTTTCCAAAGGAAAATCAATGTACCTCAAAACACGGTCTGCTAAAGTCATTCTTTGTAAAAAATTAATTATTGTTTTACATCATTCTTTTAAAGAAAATAAAAAGAAGATTATAACTAATGATAGGATAAAGAAAAGAGAACAATAAAATCAGAAAATACTATAATTAAAAAATGTAACAATATAAGATTTGCTATCAAAATTATTAAAAATAAATATTTTTAGTTTTGTATTTATCTATGTTCAATTAAAAAAAAATAAAGTTAAGCATAATTTTTAAAATATTTTTTGTGTTGTTTATTCATTAAAATTAGAAATTTTCTTAAAAAAATTATATTCAATATTATCTTTAGTTACCAAAATAACATTTTAATTTTGATTGACCATTTACTTAAAAAACTAGTAAATATACTTTTGCAATGCACATATTTGTACAAATATATTATATTTTTATTAATTAATTTAATATAAAAATAATTATTTTTAATAAGATAGAAAGATAAAAAATTAAAATTTAAACAATTTTAATATATATATAATATAAAAATTAAACTTAATTTATGTATACCTTTAAACAATTTAAATTTTAATAATTATAAATTTAATTATAAATGAATAAATATATTCATGCATGTATATATTTGCTTATATTTTATTAAATTATTTATTTTAAAATAAATAAAAATTTAAACTTAAAACATAAAAAATAAGTAATACTAAAATTTTATTATATTGAATAATATTAAATATAATTATATTAAAAAATTTGATAAATATTTTTTTATATACAATTTTTTATATATTTTTCATCGTCTTCGATAATAAATATTTTTTTCTTTTTAGTTAATGTAAACATAAAAGAAATAAAAACAAATTCAAAGAATGGTAAAAGTGAAATTAAACAGTAAAAAAATTTAATTATTTTTAAATATAAGTAATGTAAATTTATTGTATTATTATTGTTATTAAATATTTTAAAATAAAAAATCCATCAAAAATATATACTATTGATTAAAAATATAACAATTTTTTTTAATAAATAATGAGGTTTAATACTATATTAAAGTAAGATTTATTTGAATGAAGTCTAATTTTTATTTTTTAAAAAATTTAAAATAAATATTAATATAAATTTATTCAATAAATTATGTATAAAATTATTATTTTATAATTTTAAAATAACATATTTAAACTTGATTTATAATAATTAAAATTACTCTAATAATTAATAATTTTAATTTAATTTTTTATATTTTTAAATAAGTATTAACTTTAATAATATAATATCATAAATAATTATATCAATACAAAAATATATATTTATTTTAATTTTAATTTTACTTATAATTTAATTTGTAACTTAAAAATAAATTATAAGTACATAACATAATTGAATACTTCAAAAAATATTTTAAAAGCATTTAAAATTTATTTATAATATGTAAATTTACTATTTTTATATAAAAGTGACTCTAAATATTCTAAATTTTAATAAACATAAATTTTATTATAAATAAATAAAATAATAAATATATGCAACATATATAAGTAAATTTAAACTTTTTAAATTTTAATAATAAAAAATTTGATAAATTTTATTTGAAATTTATCTTCACTTAAATATTTTTTAATATCTTATTATAATTTACTAGTCTTTTTATAAAAAAATTAAGTTAATAATATAAAATAATAATTTTATAAGTGTATTTTTAATTCAAAGTACATTTTAATATTTAAAATATATATTTAAATATATAACATATTAAAATAATTAATAAAATAATTTAAATTAATACTATTTAAATTTAAATAAAACTTAAATCAAAAATAAAATTTTATTTTTAATTAAAAAATAATTTAAAAATTTTATTATATTTTCGTAAAGATACTTTCTTGTAAATTTAATCAATATTTTTTACTCTATTTTCAGCATTTGTTAATTAATTTTTTAATATAAAATGTTACTAATTTTTTTATTAAATGTCATTTATAGAAATTTTATTATTGTCATTTTTAACATTATATAACCATCAAATTTTAATAAACTTGCTTTAAATATAATTCAAAGATAATAAATATAAAACACTTATAATTTTAATTTTTACATTATGAAAAATACTATAATTAATTTTAATAAATTTTAATTTAATATAATTTATAATAAATTTGTTTATCTAATATATTTTATAGTAATTAAATATTATTGTAAATACATAAAATAATGAGCATATACAATGTATAGAAGTGATTTAAAACTTATAAATTTTAATAATCATCAATTTTGTTATAAATGTATATAGTAATAAATAAATTAATAATTATAAATTTTATAATTTTTTTTATAAATTTACAAAGTAATAAGTAGATGTAGTCATTAGATACACTTTTATTTAATATAAAATTTTTAATAATTTTTTATTAAATATTATTCATAATAATTTTATTATTACCGTTTTTAATATAATATAATTATTAGTTCTAATAAATTTTCATTAAATATAATTTAAAGATAATAAATATAAAATAAATATAATTTTAATTTGTAAATTGTGAAAAATATTATAATTAATTTTAATGAACTTTAATTTTAGGCAATTTATAGTGAATTTGTTAATATAAAATATATAAAACTAATTAATAAAAAATTTAAGTTAATACAACTCAAATTTGAATATAATTTAAAATAAAATATATATTTTTTATAATTGAAAGGTAACTTGATAACTTTATTTGATTTTTACAAAAATATTTTTATTTAATTGTAAGAATTTTTTCATTTCATTGAATCAATATTTTTTTTATTTTTAATAATTAACAATAATTTTTTTAAAAAATTAAATATTTTTTAGGGGTTATCATTTGCAGCAACTATAAACTATAATAAAATTTCTTTAAATACAATTCAAAGATATCAATCAATTATAATTTTAATTCATAAATTATAAAAAATATTACAATTAATTTTATTAGTTTTTATTTAACACAACTTACAATAGATTTATTTATAAATTTTGTTATAAATGTATAGAGTAATAAATAGGAATAGTTAATTATATATATATATGATAAATATAGATAGATATTTAAGAAATTACATCTACATTTTGTTTTTTTAAAAAATGGTTATTAATAAGTGTTCATTAATGTAGCAAGAATATGATACTAGGCACTGATAGAACAAAATGTTGGTGTTATTGTTTAAATTAATAAAGGAAATGTTTTTATGACAACTTTTTAAAAGTTTATAATTAAAAAATAACAGTTTATTTTTAATTTTTTTAAACAAATTACTAATTTACATTTTTTTTGTTAGAATTACTAATGTAAATATTAAACTAACTACTATAAATTATTTATATTTTAATAATAATTTTATCATAACAAATTGAATTTTTACATAATTTAAATAAGCCACGACATTACAAAAACACTTTTTTTCCTGTAGCATATATCAATATAAAACTTCTTTCTTATAATCAAATAAATAAATAAATTACATCTAATTTTTTATAATATTGTACATGATAAAAATATATATAATAAAACTTGATTAAAATAAACTAATAAAATTGTATTATATGTAACTTTTTATTTTATGTAATATTACAGCAATTAAACAAATATATATCTATAACTAATTATTGCAATAATTTATATCTTACTAGTAATTCAAACATAAAGTTGTTAACAAGTGTTATATATATATTCGTTTAATTTCTGTTAGAATTGAATTTACCTATACTTGTAAGTCTGTCACAAAAATATTCTAATTCCCAAATTTCATTGGGAAGTTTATAATCATAATAAATTAGATTAAACAGAAAACAAACTATTATAGGAATGTAGCTAACTTTAAACTTCTGCTTGCAGAAGAGTATACATGTCTGTCAATATCTAACAGCTGCTAAATATGTCAATGAACTTCTAAGTAGTAATTAGTTTACTATTCAAGACAGAAGCAGTAATGGAACTATTTCCCAAAATTAGAAAAATACATTTCCAAACTTTAATAGTACCTTAGTAGTATTAGTATAAATATATGTGAGAGTAATATATATTGTTTCTTTATCAACTTATGAGAAAATTGAAAAGTAATTTTACTCTAAAATATGAATTATTAGTTATGAAAGTGGGATCAGATTAAGATCAGTTAAGAGATGAGAGTTTTGTCAAAATGAGAAAGTCAAGTAATGTTTGTGTGTAAACTGTAAACAGGTCAGTGCTATATTTTTATAATCACAAATGGGGCCTCTTCCTGCTGACACGTAATCACTAGCTAACACGTGTTGGCAACATAGTGATTTTCCATCACCCCACGAATTGAAGTTGAAAATAAAAAACACATTTCACGTTACGTTAACGGGCTTCTCTCACAATGATTGATGGTTAATTTGCTTTGGCTTATGTTGAATTATGTCAAACAAGTGCTTTCTATCTCTGCTTAGAAGATAGAAATATATTTTTTTTAAAATTAAAACTTTCTCAATCTAGAAAACTTCCAAGCCACGCATACTCTTCCCTCCTCACAACTAGTCATTTTTTTTACTTTTAATGAAGAATATTTCTTGAGGGAGAAAAGGTTTTAAAAAATGTGATAAATATTAAATAAATTAATAATGTTAAATGAGCATTGATATTAAATATTAAATTATATTTTAATTAATCTAATGGGTGACGAAGAAACTTGATATTAACCATGCATATGAAGTGGATAGAGACGGCCATCGACAAATTGACCCAATTTATCTAACTGAATAATAGTGATTCTTTCTGGCAAGATTAAGTTAAATGGTAAGAGATGGACCAAACTTTGGAATTCTCTTTTCGTTTTAATTAACTAATTTCTGTCTTCACTTTTGGCACGCAACCTGATTTCGAGTAAGATCAATGTAAGGTTATTACGCATTTGAATTTGAATCGTAGTTCTTGCACTTGCATAGAGCCAGTCTCGTACATTTAGAATAAAATGTATCCTTAATTAAAAAAAAAGGGTTGAAAGATTTGAAATTAAATAACTGGCATTTATTAATCTCATAAACTCATGAGCTTGATCTCGTCAACTATGCATGGATGTTCAGGGTTGAGATTGTGTAGTGTAACGGAACAAAAGTGGTCCTTTCATATTACACAAAAGCAATTATCTCTCGTAAAGCAGACTAAATTCATTGTCTTAGTTTGCTTACCTGAATAAATAATGTAAATTAGGCTCTCTAATTAACATTTATAAACACTAGCAGTTTTGGATCGTTTAGTTAAATTGTCTGCGAGTTAAGAGTTTGTCCATTTAAATTACAAGCCGCCTATTATTATTTGTTTTGTTCTTTTTTAATGCAATTTTAATGTGCAATGTCTAGTTAATTAGTTGAGATTGATGTTGATTTCTTGATAATTTGTCATTGATATTTGAGATAAGCTTTGTAACTAATTCATGGTTACTTGTATCTCTGTTAATGGAACATATTGTAAGAGGTTAAACTCGATTATTAACAATTCAAACTCACAACTTGACTGATTGAAGTGATTCAAAGAGGAAACCATATCTTTTTTTTTTTTTTTCATAAGTTGAGTATGTATTTTGTTTGTAGAAATTTTGACGATTAAATTTTTTTAAATGTGTAGTTAAAAATTACTGTCCCTTCGAAGCAGTTTGCTTGTTAATTCTTAAGTAATCTAATAATTATATATATATATATGGATAAGATCTTGGTGTAAACTTAAACACTCTTACACCTAATTTGAACCTTTCATTTAACTTATATCTAACGGTCAGTAAAGTAATAAATTATAACTCATTAAATATAAGTTAAATAAAAAATTCAAATTAAGTGTAAAATTTTTTAAATTTATACTGATGTAAGAAAATTCTTCACCATATATATATATGTAGAGATGAGAAGTATTAATAATAGTTGGGAAGAGAGAGAAGAAAGAAAGTGAACATTGAGATAGTAACATCAATTTTTTTTTATTTTAATTTAATAATTATTATTAATATATCCCACCTCTCATAATAATAAACTTCTCTCACTTGAAATGCTTCCTATATATATATATATATATATATATATATATATATATATATATATATATATATATATATATATATATATATAATTTCAACTTACATTAGTATAAATTATAAAAAAATCACACCGTTTGATAATTTTATTCTAAAATTTTATTCTAAAATTAATGGTTGAATTAAAAGTTTTTATCACTTAATCTGTGTCTATAAAATTTTATATTAATCTATTTTTTTATACCCATTCATGTATGGCAAAGTTTATATATATATGAAATAAAAATACTATTATATATTAATGACATGTTTATGGTTTGTACCTGCGACATGGCATATTATAATTATTATTCAGAGGATGTAATGATGTAGCTTTCCTCGTTTTGTAGCTACTTAAGGTTACTCTCCTTTTCCACCAAAAATATTATCTCAGGTAATAGTAAAACTAATTACATATGTAATTCAGGTGTAAGTGCCACTTTATCTAATTACGCTTAATTTTCGTGTTTTGTCTGGAGCTTTGGTATGTTTCAAATATTTTTAACTATCCTCATCTCGATCATCTAATCCTTGGAGATAAAAGTTTGCAGTACAGTTTCATCACATCGTTTCTCCTATCCACTTTGAAGCTTCCCCCGTGGGAATCTAATGCTATATGTTCACACTTCACATGCTACTATTGCACGTAATTAGAGACCAAAGACCCAATTTATTATACATTAAAACAACTAAAACCTCTTATATTACATGCTAAAATCCAATTCCCTTAAAGCTCCCAACACTTGCCCGTGATATATTGGCCCATGGTACTCCCAATTGGCCAGCACACACTTTGTCACGGGAGCTCTATATGCTCAATATAGTATTAATCCTGCAGAAGTTTACGCACTATTGCACCAACCTTCAATGATCACTATACTCTCTATATAAGCCCTTAGTTCTATTCTCATGACAAGCAGTGGAAGAGTGAAGTTAGAGCTGAGAGAAGATATCAATCATACAGGCATGGAGGCATACAAGAAAGTTATGATGGTTGGGATGTTAATGGCCATTGTGATGATTGGATCAACGCCCATGTTGGCCAATGGGCAGTACAGCTCATTTTGCCATATGCCCATAGAAGGGTTGAAGGCATGCTTGCCTTGTGTGAGTGGTGACAATCCTATTGATCCTCCAACTTCTGCTTGTTGTTCAGGTATTGCTAAGGCTGATCTTCAATGCTTCTGTCATTACAAGGATTCAGGCTTGCTCTCTATCTATGGTGTTGATCCCACCAAAGCCATGGATCTACCTGTTAAGTGCAAGATTGTGGACTCTTTCCACTGCCAGAAACACTAGTCATGTGTCAGAAAGGCACAAACACAAGGGCACTTAACTATGTAATCGTTGATTGCTCTTGTCTTCCCGTGTTTATGTTTTTTCTTTTTCATTTTCCGACGTGTCTGTTGTTAATGCTACGGATCATGGCATGTTTGTTTGTTTGTTGTTGTTGTAATGTGATTTGTTTATTTCGCTACTACTTTGGTTTGGTTAATTCGTGTACATTAGTTCTGGTTTGCAGTGAACGTTCTTGTCGACAATTTCTTCTTCAAAAAACCTCTACTTTAATGGAAAACAACTTCAACGAGTTACTTATATCAGGGCAAAGTGCTAACTATTGCCCCCTTTTGGAGAAAAACAAATCATAGGTTGAAACTTCAAATAAGATCCTTTGAAAAGGACGTAAAAAAAAATATTGCTAGCCACATTATGGTACCATGATCAATCAAATATTCAAAAAATTAATATTAAAAGTCATACTTATCAAATATTTTAATTAATTAACCGTATAAAAAATTTTACATTCACGTGCATAAAAAAAGTAATTTTATTTTATTTTATTTTTATAACATATTGATAAAATTAGTGCTTTTACCATTTAAAGTTAATTTTAATATATAATTTTTTAGTATTTATTTAATCTTTTAGTTTTTATTTTTATATGATAGTTATTTTTCATTATAACAATATTATGTATATCTCATTAGTTCACTTAGACCTCATCGAAAACCATAATTTTGACAACATAATAAGTCAAAGACAATTTGACTATTTTAATTCTTTATATGTAGACTATGAAACACAATAAAATTTTAAAACAAAGGTAAGCACATTAATGATTAAAAAAAGCCACATTGAGATTTATTATTATCTTGAATAAACTTCTAGAGAAATTTTCATAAAAGAAGAAAATGACTATAAAAAATGAATAAATTTTTTATAAATTAAAAATAATTTATCTTCTCAAATTTTTAGAGAAGTTAAATAAGAGAATTTTTTAAAAAAATATAGAAAAATATAAATTGATTTTAACTTATAAAAAAGAAGTTTAATTTATTTTACTACTCAATTTGTTTGTTTTTACTTTTATAAGAATTTATTAAAAAATTTATCAAAACTAAATTTTAATCTATCATCACCAGAATATGAAGATCTTATATTTAAAGCAAACTTAAGGAAAAATAGATCATAACATGCGGTTGAATTTGATGTCTTATTTAAGTTAAAAAAATCTCAATTGAGCATAAAATTTCTCAATTGACTTTAATAATTTTTAAGAAGTAAAAAATAGGTATTTAAAATTGAAATTTGATTAAAAAAATTAATACTTGGACTTCAAAATTGGAATTTAGCAAATTAGGCTTAACTTAGGCATGAGTCACTCTTGACGTCTTAGCATTTACTTGTACGTAGGGATAGGAATATGTTAAGTTAGACTTTGCATTAATAGGTTTAATTTATTTAATAATTTTGAAATTTAAGTTTAACTTATTTTCTGTTATAAGTTTTTTTTATTAAGCCTAGTTTATCCTTTTAAAAGCCTAATTTAGTCTATTAATTTTTTTAATGGTCTAATTCTTATTGAGATATTTAATAGGTCATTAAACTTCCTTATAAATAGACTATTAAATCATCTAATATACATGTCTTTTAAAAGTTATAAGACTTATATCTAAATAAACTATTAAAAAATAATATAATATAAACAAGTATATAAGATTATAAAAAGATGATGAATTAGGTGAGATGAACTAGTGATAGACATAATTGAGACAATGCAATGTAAATTAGTGTTAAAAATTATTATATATTATTATTTTAAAATTTAAAATTTTATTATTTTAAAATTTAATTAATTTAGTATATCATTGTATTATATTTTTTATATAAAATTATTTAATATATTATTATAAATTTTAAATAGGTCATTTTAATAAGTCTAATGGATTTTTTTTAAGTTCAAGCTTGACCTATTTAATTATTTAAACTTTTTAAAAAATTTAAATTAAGTTTATTAATTAAATAAGTTAGGCCAGATTAAATGTTAAAAAAGTTAGGTCGTAGGTTCACATTGACGGCCTAACCCCTATTTCTATCTTTACTTGTTGCACATTGTTTAATAAGAATGCTTCTTCTTTTTCTATTATTTTATTAAAAATATTAATTGCAAAACAGTGGTAAATTATTTATATGAAGATGTATAACTTTCTTTATGTTGCTTTAATTATTATTTACAAATGTCAAAATTTTTGTATAAATGTTTTAAAATCAATTATCTTTTTAATGATAAGGGCAAAATGCCTTTCATAATTTTTTTTATTGTATAGAAATTCCAGTTTGTATGTTGAATATTAAATAATACATATAAACGACTATTGATCTTTGTAATGATTACTTTTTTTTTATAATTACATTTAGTTAAATTACAACTTTCAATTAAAACTAACAAATAATTATATATATGTGTAAAAATAAAATTCAATTCAATTAACCTATTTTTACCTAACTCTGTATTTACAACACGAGTAAGAAAAATATTTTCAACAAATTTCTTAAAAAATATATTTTTAATAATCATTATATTTTTTTTATTATGTCACACGAATTTTATTATATTTAGCATTTAATATTTTTTAATTTAATGTTAATTTAATTTTTCATAATTTTTAAATTTTATATTAATTATATTTAATACACTAAAAAATTTATTTATTTAAATTTATGCTAATTTAACAATATTTATTCAGTGTAAAAAAAAAGCTAATAGCATATAATTAAACCTAAACCTGAAAGCCCAAGGATCAGAAAGTGAAATACAGAGGTAAGAATTAGGGTTTGGTTGGTCTTTGTATTGGTTTCTTGGGCCCAACAATATGGGGTTCAGGTTCGGGTGAACGATGTTATAAATTTGCATCTAAACCCTAAAGAAAGGCACTTACATTTACTCCTTAGACATTCGCAATCCGAACTCGGACGCAGCTACGTATGTTGTCTCTCTCATTTTTCACACGCATTTTCAGTTTCTGTATCGGCCTTCATAATCCCAGATAAGCTTAACGTTTTCGTAAGTGCTTACGCTGATTCATGGGAGGCCAAAATTAAATTATGGAAGTTTCGCTGATAAATGCCAATCTCTGATTGTTATGTCAAGGCGTTTACTAGTAACTTCACCATACACTTTCCACTTTCCACTTTTCACTTTTCACCATTTTCTCATACTTCTGCAATTCGTTATCTCAATCCAAAGGTTTAATTAAATATTCTAATACACACACCACAACCACAAGAATGTTGGATATAGGGCAGTTCCAGATTTTTTCTTCTTTTAATTATTTTCTGGAAAACAGCCTTCGAATTTAATGACCTTTCGTTGGATATGATTTCATTTTTCCTCTTTTATTATCGTGCTTTTCAAGATCAAAATTCTTCAGTAAAAATTCGAGCTGAGACTTCATAAGCATCGCAATGCTATATTTTTCCTGCCATGTATAAGTCTGATGGCTAATTGAACTACGAAGTGGTCAGCGAAACAAGGAAAGGAACTACATTTAATAGACCTACCATTCACTTGTTTCTTAATGGCCATATTGTTATTAGTACTAGACTTGAAAACAAAACAGCGTTATTAGTTCAATCTGACTTTACTCCCACCACCATTACGATAATTCGGTAAATTTGGATAAAAAATTATCAAGTTGATAATAATAAAACATTAAAATCTGCAAGAAAAATATTACATATAAATTTATAAAGTAATCGAGTACATATAAATTAAAAATAATTTTTCATAATTAAGTGTTAAATTAATAAAGGTAGGTAATTATTTATGAACATATACTTAACATAAATTCAAATCATTACAATTTATAGACTATAAAATTAATAGGGTCGTTTATTTTTAGTTGGCTGAAATGTTTTTAATTTTGACATCTTAACAACTTTTTGGTTTTAGTCTCTTTATACTAATATTTTTTTTTTGTTTTATTCTCTTTTTTTTTTATAAATTTTTATTTTTATTCCTTAGATCTGGTTTATTGAGCCAAATGTCAGTTTTTGATTTAATTATACCAATATTAAAGATTAAAAACAAAAATTTATAAAAAAGTTAGACTAATGTGTGTATATAACAAGCTGGCCAATTTAATGTGTGTATATATATATAAAATTAACAAGCCAACTATGTACTCTTTTTAACATAAATCAGTGTTTTTCGAAACCCAAATTCTAACGCGTTGGGGCTATGCCACTTGTTTTGCAATCTAACTTGAAAAATGTACTTTTATTTATGCACCCTTACGTGCGTTGCTTTAACATTAGCACGCAACCCCCCATGCCCGTTCTTAGATTTGGGCAGGCATACTTCATTTTCTCCTATATACTGATGCATTTAACATTTTTAACTTATGAAGTAAAATTTTCCATTTTTTAATCAAGTCATATATAGAAAAATTTCATATGAAATGCAACATATAATATTATTAATGCATTAAATTACATTGAATTCTGTAATTTTTAGTAAAATTTTACTATATATAACTTTTTATCTTTTACAATGTTGGGCAGGTTTTAAAAATTGTTTAATCAATAATCTTGAACCAAGAAAACAGAACCCAGCATACAATAACTCTCGCTGTTAGCATACATAAAAGGTTAGCAAATAAGTCAATCTTATAGTTAAATATCAGCAGAGCATCATGGAATGCTAAGCAATTATGCTTACTGTAAAACCAAAATAGTATGATGCTAAATTGTAAGGCCAACTAATGGGAAAAAAACAAGTAATGCATCTATATAATAAATTAGAAACATCCGTGTCTATCGTTGCCTAATCAAAATTTTCAATCTCAAAACAAGTCCGACCCCCGTACTACAGACTACAGTAAGGATCATGCAAAAGTTTACATCTACTTGTTGTATAGATGCACAACAGTAAAGATGAAGAAACCTGCCATCTGCATCAAAATCAAAAAGGTTATATTACATAAAAGTCAAGGAGAATTCTCAAGAAGATCCATTCAGTGACAGAACAGAATATACATCGATCTAGTTACAATTTCACAACTGCAAAATTCAAAGACACAATAGCAACCTGTGCAATATAGCCTGAACGTCAACCTCCATGCAAGTAAAAAGGAATTCAATAGAAGGGGCTACCCTACCCAGATGTGCATTTGAACAGTATCAGTAAGGACCAATGCCCCACGCCCCCACGGATGTATTTTTAAAGGATCTTAAGGGAAAAAAGTATAGCAAAAAGATTTACGGTCTAGAGAAGCTTTAAGAGAAAATCTACGTGGACCTTCGGTCAAGCTTTTACTCAATTGCAAGAACACTAATGTTAAGATGGTTAAAAATCATTAGGTGGCTTAGAACAGCAAACCATCTCAAAGTTTGCACACAAGCTTCGAATTAGCCGCCTGGTGAGCTAGTTTTACAAAATATGGTACTCAAAAGTGAACTAACACATGGCCCACAGAACCTGAAACAAATGGGCTGGAATGACCTATCTCCAGGTAACATATATAGTATCACCTTTTGGGATGTATAAACAGGTTTATCCAGAGTATCAAAAGCAAAAATCAAAGATCATATCCTATATATAGATTAACTCTACCCAACGAGAATTGGAGGGAGATCCTTACCATTGAAAAAGCTGCTCCATAATAGGGATAAGCTGCTGGTATAAATCTCTCGTATTCATTGTGTCTGTAGGGGCGAACAGGAATCTACATGCAATGTTCAAGACTGTTCATGAATACTGCTCACAATATTTAGCTTATTATAATTCCAAAAAGTTTCACAAATACAGGTTGCCAGAGATTGGCATTTAAGGCTGGCAATAATTCTGAAATATGACTGCCTAAACTGTACGCATAGGCAAACTGGGTACCATAAAGGTGTAACATTTAAAACAATAGTCATGGGAAAGAGGAAATTCTAAACCCATAAAGGTGGGTGTGTTTGAGTGTGTGTAAAGCTGTTATGTTATACATGGATGCACATGCAGAGATGTTTTTAGTAGAACCTGCTAAAACACAAGGGTAAATCTAAGAATGTAGAAGAGGGGTGTGAACCCTGTAAGTAAAAAAGGGGTGCCTGCGTACAATGACTCTTATTAATACTGAAATAAAATATTAAAGGACTGGCAATTACCTGCTTTGATAAAGATAAGCTTGTATATCCAAGTTTTTCGTACTCAACTTTGAATTGGAAAACCCCATAGACATCTGGAACCTTAAATGATGTGAAATAACGACCCTGAAAGAGAAAATGTAACCCAGTGAATTTCACTCGAACATTTATTAGAGAAGTTAAGAGTAAGGCCAAAAGGAAATTCAAAAGCACCTTGCTGTCAGTTGATAAAGTCTTCAAGACATATGGGCTCATCATGTAAAATTGCACTTGAACATCATCAGCAACATAAGGTTCCCAAGTTGTCCCAGACCACTCATAAATTTCAACACAGTATTCCTTTAACAAGATTTAAGAAGTGAGCCCAAACCAGAACTAATGTTTCAGTTGAAGCAAACATGACATACATCAGTATTGGAAAAATAGTTCAGTTACCAAATTATCATTGATCCTATACATGGCTGGTTCATTAGCTTCCCCAACTTTACGGTGTTGCACATTCACCGCCTTAAAGTCAAAATTTGAAGCAAAAGCATATTAATTAACAATAATGACCATGATGTCAAATATCAAAGAACTGAACAATGGCAATAAAATTGACTTAAGTATTTTTAGTCTTACCTTGAGGTGACCTCTTTCATGGAAAACCCATTTGCTAAGTTCAGTCAAGAACTGCTCATTACCTGACTTGTTGTATCTGTTATTCCCAAAATATAAAATTACTGGCCTTCTCTTTGCAAAAATTATATTTCACTAAAAAACAGAATCTAGGGGGAAACAAACATATGGCTACTTTAAGTTGGATGTGGTGAAAATAGTATGTAAAATAGCTGATGGAAACTGCATTATAGCAGTGATAAGAGAGAAGGCAGCTACTCTAGCAGAGAACAAATTTCTGACACAAAACAGGAAAAAGAGAAGAAGGCTTGATGCTTTACTCACTTGGTTGTACTCCCGGCCTTCTGCACAGCTGACTGGAAAAATCTGAAGAAAATCCAAATTTATAAAAAATGAGCTTCAGAACATACATATTAGTCATGTAGTACAACAAAACCTGATTAACAAGTGAGCATTTTCGTACCGGTTGCTGAACATGCTCAATGAGCCAGAGATCAATATCCGAGCATTATTTCTAGCCTGTAACAGCAGCCATTTTAGAAAAAAAATATTAGTACAGCAGTAAATAATACTTTTCATAAGAGGAAATGGATAACTTTGGAAGAAATAAAAATTTAAAATTAAAAATCAAACCTTGCTTTCATATTTCAGAATCAATAGAATATGGGCATGTTAAAAGACAACCAAAAATGTACATATGCGGACAGCAAACAATAAGCATGCACACAGTAGAAGGAAGAAACATTAATGTACCTGTATAACTGAAACTAATGAGATTGACGATCCAGTGAGTGATGGAGGACTTGTCAATTTAGATTTTGGGTTAGCAGAAAAGGCTGAAGGAGATGCTGAGAGAACTTTCAACACCTGAATTGAAACACGTGTAACAAAACTAAAGTAAACTTATATTGCAATAATGATAATGAATATGTATGAACTAAATAAAGAAATATTACCAGGCTATTGGAAGGATTTAACGAATGCCCAATCCCCTGGAAAAGTACCGGGGCCTGTTGCAAGTAACGAGAAAGATCAGAAAAGAATGTTGCGGCTTATAAGAAGCATTTGCTACTAACATACAAGCTACTCCCTCCCCCTTTAAAACATATGACAGAAAAGCGAAGAACAAATAAGCAAAAACAACTCGAACAGAAGCCCAAAGCCACAGACTATAGTGCTGAAAAAATAATGTTAATACATTGAACATTTACTTTGCATAATGCAGTTAATTAACACTGCACTTGCCTCAATTTTTTTGCTTCCCAAGATCACATCAGACTTGATAAAATCATCACTAGCAATCAATGTATGATCCCCTTCGGTAACAGAAACTGCATATCCAGTATGATCTATGACCATCGCAGCAGGATCCTAAAATAAATTAAATAAACGAAAAAACAAAAGCAAGGGATAAGATTAGTGTGCCCAAAATAACACAAATAATAACAGCAAAGCAAATTACACCATCAGAGAAAAGAGTCATTGACACATAACTGTGAAAAGTCAACCTCACTACAAGGAAAACTATCTGAATGAGAGAGAAACTAATTTACAAAATTCAATATAACTAAAACAAAATTGATCGTAAGCACCTCATCAAAATCCGCTCCGCACTCAGTGGCGATTTCCCGAATCAAATCAGATGCATTGCTATCGGCAGCGACTATCAAATCATGACCCGAATCAACAAAATCCAAAATAGCAGCCGCATCAACGGAACCTCCAAAACCTGCACATCTCGCAACACTCATGAGTTTCATCCAATTTAAAACACCTTCATTTCAGGCACATAAAAAATCGAAACTTTGAAACACAGACAAGCTAAAAACCACACTTCCTCAAAACCCTTTTTGCAAAACAGCAACAGAAATCAAGATCTCCGTAGTTTTATCAAAAAAGGGGAAAAAATAACAATGGGGGTTGAAAAGCGCAAAACTCACGTTCAATGGTGGGGCTGAACAAAATTAAGGCATCGTAGAGGTACTGGCCGTATCTCTGGAGCGAAATTTTGGGGTCGTCGGCGAGCTTGAAGTGGAGATCGAAGCCACGAGATTGGAGAGAGTTGAAGAAGAGAGAGTGGGAGGATTTGACGGCAAAGTCATCGAGCAAAACGAGGACACGCCGATCTGAGGGTCTCTCGGGGGAGAAGGAGCTGCAAAGAAGAGGAATGAGGGTAAGGAGGAAGACTACGATTGGCTTCGACATTGGGGAACACTCACACACCTCTCTGCTGCGAGTTGGGTCAGTCAAGAACACAGTTTCTCAAAGTCTTCATCTACTACCATGCTCTTTTCATAAATTGCGTTTTTGCACCCTTTACTATCACATTTTTAACCTTTTCCCATTTCATTTTTGGACTTGGGATTCTTTATGCTACGGCCCAATACTGTGTCCGTTACGCTTGGTCTGTCCTGTTTGAATGGGCCGTATTTAACAGGCTCATTAATACTGTGGTTCACGACCAAAAAAAAAACTGTTGTTAAGCAGGGCAACTTGTAGATAGGTTTTTATGTAGAGTTAGGATAGTTATTTTTTATATAATGAAATTAATCAATTGAATATTCAAAATTTAATATTTTTTATATTTTAAAATATATAATACCTATTAAAATAAAATAATGTGATGAAGTAATTATTTATTTTATTTTTCTACAACTTAAAAATCATTTTTTTGTAATCACAAATTGACAGTAGCTCCCACAATTTTATTGGTTAGTAGTTTTTTTACGTTTGAATCCATTGTGAGACACTGTTTGCCTAAACTTTATTTCCATCTTGAAGGTGGCAACTGAGTACCAAATTTACACTGAATTTCAAAGACAGCTATTTATGCCATGCCTCATGATTCGTATATATACCAAATGTAACATAGATTTAGGATGTTACATTCAATTCCTTCCTTTTTCAAGGAACTAGTAAGAGATCCGTGCGGGTTAATTACAATTAAATACACGATATATTTATCTTAATATTTTTTTATAAAGGTAAAATTAAACTGGAGAAAGACTGAGAACCAAAACTTCTTGTGAATTCCCATGAAATATGCCTAAATTATAAATGCATTAGAGCACCTTTAATGCTGGTTACTCTTAAAAAAGAAAAAGTAACCCATAAGGTAAATATGAAAGTAACTTTGTTTTATTGGAGAGCAATTCATTGTTGTGACTCCATAGTCTATTTGTTGAATAAAATAATTGCTGCTCTTAATCTTTGGCTGGTCTCACACCTGTAAACTAAAATTTTTTATTGCACCATAGTTACTTTTAAAATAAAGATGAATAATAATATATAAAAGTGTAATGTTGTTGAGTTGAAATAAGAAATTAATCAAATTACTTAAAATAATAAAAATAGTGTTACGTAATGAGAAAGTATGAAAAGTTATAAAATATCAATTTTAGCAACTTATAAGACTTGCTTGGATCAAGTTGTCCTTAGACAGAATCACAAATATGAACTTTTAAATTTATAGTTCGTAATTTTTTTTTCTAGATAAGAGGACAAGATTGATGATCATGCCAATTTTATTGGACTTGAATCCTCTCTCACCAACTGTTCCTCAACAAGAGGGAGAAAGAGACATGAGATAAAGTATCTCTTTCACTCTCTTGCTGAACAATATAGTTGTAGATAGTTTTGAGGAAATCTCACACCAATAACAAACACAATAATTGAAGATCATCATAACATTGAATTAGAATTTTGAGCTGTGGGCTAGGCTCGAAAACTAGTTCATCATCCCTTAACAAGGTTTTGGTGACAGAGAAGCTAGCTTTTCTGGCCCAACTTCTTGACTATTGTTGCCATGTACCTTCCTTGATACTCAGCAAGGGCCAGCTCTGTTTCACTTGCTTGCCTTGAGCCATCACCAGCAAAAACTCCAGCACCATATGGAGATCCACCTCTAATGGAGTCCATTTCAAACATTCCAGCACCGAAAGAATAACCAATAGGAACATAGAGCATTCCATGGTGGACTAACTGTGTGATTGCTGTCCATCTACAATGACAGTTCTATATGACATGTTACTAATTGATGGTTTGTCTCCCAATCATGATGCTGATTGCTGACTATTAAGGCATTACTTTACAATCAAATTAATAATATATTTTTTAATACATTTTGTCATTACATTCTTATTTATTTATTGACTAAAATTTATTTCGAAGTGCAGAAAAATAAAAGAAACTTGGTAAATTAAGAGTAAAACTCAATAATTTTTTAATAAATTTCAGCTAATAATAAAAAAATGTATTAAAAAAGTGTTTATTATTAGCATAATCTTCAACCAAATTAAGATCATCTAATCAAAAAGTGTTTCAACCATACTCCTCCACCTCTGACCCCACCCCCAATTTAATTATTTATTTTTTCAAAAACAAGACAACAATCCCTGCTCCTAGATCTAACAATTCATGCTCTAAAATTATTCACCAAGTTAAGACAATTTTTCAGTTCCACTGATTGGCACAAATTAACAGCTCATGTGGGATTATTCCAAACTTACTTTCTGGGTTTTGATGAACTATTATTGTTTAAGATAGAATAAGCACTTTTTGAAACAAGGTTCACTCAAATTAAAAATAGTTTAATGATTGTTTATTCTAAACAAAAACAACTAATCATAACATTCATATCCATAATCTCAACTCCTCACTAAACAAGTTCTGCAATACCTACTTTAGAACACCCACCTAGTTATTTATCTAAACCGACAAAACTCTTAATTATGAATTTATAATTGTTACTTTTTTTATAATTTCTTTAGCAGTCATATTTTGAACAGTTTCTGACTGATTGACAATGTAAAAAACTTTGTACTAAAGGTTTTTCATCAAGACTAAACTCAATTATACACAAACTTTTGAACTTGCATTAAAAGAGAAAATGAAGAGAGAGGCTCTAATTTTTGCATGCAATGCATGAATGAAGGGAGAATTTCTTACGCTGTGGTTTCTTGACCACCACCCTGAGTGCCAGTACTGACAAAGAAGCCAGCAGGCACACCAACCAGCTTCTGCTCTCTCCATAATTGACCTGTGGAATCAAAAAACGCCTTCATCTGCGCCGCCATGCTTCCATACCTTGTTGGAAACCCAAATAACAATCCATCAGCTTCCAACAACTTCTCTGCAGATATGAGTGGCACCTTTTCATCCTTCTCAGGTGCCTTCATGAGTTCCAACACCTCCTTAGACAGTGTCTCCACCACACGGTACAACAGCCCTTCAACTCCTTCAATTGAATCAACCCCCTTCTTCAAGGACTTTGCCAATGACTCCACATGACCATAGGTTGAGTAGAACACAATGAAAACTTTCAGCTTTTTCACTGCTTCTTGTGGTGGCTCTTCTTGGTTTGTGCTACTTGGGTCATCTCTTGGAATTAGGCTTTCAACACTGCCAGGATCATTCTTTTCTGTTCCTGAAATTGGTGCCTTTGTCTTGCTTGGAAAGCAACCACCTCCTTTCCCCATTGGAATTCACTTGGTATCAACACTTTCAAAAATATTTGCTAATAAAGCTTCTAAAACATCTAGAAATAAACTAATTCTTGTTTTACTTGCAAAGCAAGATACAAAAAAGACAGATATTTCAACAAGGAAACAGAAAGATTGATGTTATGAATCAAATGTTGGTTCTGAAAATTTGGATTATACAAAACAAAGAGACAGAGAGATGAGGAACAGTGTAACATGAACAAGTTTGGATTTGACTTCACTTAATGAGCTGTTTTAACTATTAAGAAAAGATGAATTAGAAAATGGCTATTGGCTGGCATCTAGCTCTTGAACCATAAAGAAAACTTGATATTATTTATTTAAGCTAATGTGGCATAAGCATCGTTCCTTAGAAAATTAAAATAGCCGAAGGAGACAAAAGAAATTGGCAAAGAATCAAATGATTTCGAGTGTGGACTGAATAGAGGTTAGTTGACACCTTTAACAAATAATATTAGTAAATGAAAATTTCCTTTTCATTGACAGTTTCAAACTTGAATAGCTTAAAGGATAATATTTCAATTTTTGTGGGGCGGGGCTAAGAAATTGACAATCCTGGTTATTCTTTCCTTTGAAAGATTCCAATTAAAATCTGTGAAAAGATTATGTTGTTTTTTTATCAATGTTGCAAGCCATTATTATTATCCAATTATTGGTAAGTTCTACCTAACTAATTCAGAGTTGGAATTATTCCTTTTACAAATACAAGTGCACAAGCTTCTTGCAAAATTTAAGTCAACAAAGACTTCATTTTCAGACTTTATGGTCATCAGTGACGTTTAAACATTTATAAGTGTTTGTGACAGATATATGCGTGTGTTTGTCCAAATATATTAGGAGCACCAATGAACTTGTGAGGGTGCTTCATGGCTTAAACCACATTCCTGGTTTTACTGTTGTTGAATCCTTTTTAAATTGTTGTTTCCCTAATCTTATCCTTCGTGAGTATGCAATAATTTTTAATAAATTTTTATTTTTATTTTTTATCTTTATCATGTCATCTATTTTATCTATCACTTCTTTTTTATCTGAAATTGTAAAAACTTTTATAAAATATTTTACAAGAATATCATTACTCGTTTTGAAGCATCTGTTAATATCTCAGATGCCAAATCATTGAAGTTCCTTCCCTCTGTATTCTAATAAATTAATACTGTATATAATTTTGATTTTATTTTTGGAAAAGTTAATTACAGAAGCAACTAGTATTAGTTGAAAAAGTGGACTTATGATATTTTTATTATTTTTTAAAGTGTGAAAAGAATATCAATTCAACAGCTATAGATGGCTTAACCCCTCTTCTTTTAAAAGATTAAATTTAGTGTATATTCAGATTATTAATTTTAGAAATTATAATCTGTTTCCATTAAAAAAAAAATAATCTGTTTATAATATTGTTATTTCATGTTTGGCAAAGTTGGTGGAAATCATGTCATAATCATAGATTATTTCTATTGGAAAGTAAAAGGTTTATTTAAAATAAATATAATTTTAGAAATTGTGATCAAAAGCCAACAATTTTTTTAGTTTTCTATTTCATCTCCTACAATTGATTGATTTAAATACAAAAGTAATTATTACAAATAGCTTTCATACTCTATTTTATAATTTTACTGTAAAAAAAACTAATTGTTTTAGATAATTCAAATGAAATCACTTTCCACCAAAAATATCTAAATATAAACTTGTTTTTCATAAATGATTATAACAATAATTTATATTTATACGCACACGATCACTAAAATAATTGGGTCCAAACATTGGTAGTTAACAGATTTGACTAATACGTATTTTCATAAGAAATAATACGTGTATGTATATGAAAACATCTCTGTGGCAGTACAAATATTAAAATGTCAATGTAATGAGAATTTTCCAAATGTTTACAAGTAATAAATACATAGCTAATAGTGCGTCAAATCAATCATACTTGCAAATAATTGGGCATTTTGCGAGACTTTGAATGACCCAAAGTTATATATATAATTTTTTATATTAGTATAATTCTAAAAACTATTATATTCAATTTAAATATTTTATTTAATTTATATTTAATAATTAATGAAATAATAATAATTCATTAAATTTAAATAAATAAAAACTTAAATAAAATATAAATTTTTTAAACTTACAATAATATATATATATATATATATATATATATAAAATATTAATCTATCATGTATTACGGATTATGAAGATGGGTTATTAATATGGATTTGGATGTTGAAATCTAAAGCACTTGACATTAACAAGATAAGTTAAAAAATACAAATTAATTAAATATTTATTTAATAGCGTACAATATAAAAATTTATATCATAAACTTAATTATAATTTATAAATAAAAAATTTATATAAATTATTTTTATAAAATTTACTTAAATTTTCAAAACACTTTCTAAAAGTTAAATATTTAAAGTTAGAACTTAAAATATGGAAACATGGAATGTTGAGACTTCTAGCCATCTAGCAGCAAAGAAGGGGATCAATGGGAGAAAGTTTTATAAATTTTTTATAGGGTTTTAAAAATTTGGAGAAAAGTTTGGTGTTTATTTTAGTATCTTTATATTTTACATTTTTAATAAATTAATGGAATTTAAATATATATTATATCTATCTTTTTATTATTTAATTTATAATGTTATTAAGAAATATCTCAAGATTTATCATATAGAATTAAAAATTAAACTTAAATCTATAAAATTTATCTTATTATCATTTTAACCTCGTATGAAAATATAACGTTCTTTCATCCTTAGCCATGCTTAACGAATCTTTATTTTTGTAATTTATATTTTAATATTTTATTTTAAGATAGTGTAAGGACTTTTTTTTTTAAACTCAAATTGAGGGTATTTACGTAATCAATGAATTCATATTTTATTTTAATATTTTAATCACACAAAAGTAATTATCTAATCCTTAATTATAATAATTAATTTAAATTATTATACTTATTCAATACTGTACTTAAAACAAAATAATTGTTTAAGTTGTCATAATCTTTGTAAAATTATAATTAATTTATTCTAAATGTTATTATTTTTCAATGTATTTTTTATATATGAAAGAAATCTAAATAATAATGTACACATGTTTGTATATTATTCGATATGAAACACCAATTTTTTTTTAATTAAAAAGGTATCATAGAATTTATCAAATATTTTTCTTTTGTTAATTTTGTCTCTTGTAAAATTTAAAAAAATTGAAGAAGAAAATTTTATACTAATTATACTTAATTACTTTTAATAACTTTATTTGTTTACTAAAAATATATAATAATAAATTATTTTATTTTTCCTTTATTTTCTTAAACAAATAAGGTGTCTCTTCTCTCAATTGAAATACTTTTCTTTCCTTCTTTAAACTAAAAAGTACCTCATGCAAGAAGGTTAGAATATTTTAGCATTAAACACCAAAATGTGACTTAGAATAAAACTTATTTTGAATCCAAGTTGACCTAACATCCCAGTTTTCGATCCGAGTAAAATTTTAGAGAAACTCTTATAGAAAAAATAAATTAATATAATAAATGAACTGTTTTATAAATTAAAAATAATTTATATTTTTTAATTTTTAAAAATATTTCATTTAACTTCTCTAAAATTTTAAAAAACAAATTATTTCTAACCTATAAAAAAATTATTTAATTTTATACTTTTCTCTAAGAATTTACCAAAACCTGAGTTCATCTTTACCAAATCAGTAACACATTGCTAAAGATTCTTATTTATGGGTTAATTTGAAACACAATTATCACTTATAGAGCAGAGAAAATTAGTTTGCTGATTTTCTTACGAATTTGTTTTATTAAATTCTGTTTATAATTTGAGATATTTCTCCTATTGAGCTTGCATAATTGCATAATATTATAAGAATTCACAACTAAACTAATAAATATTATTTTTATAACAAAAATTATTCGATATGTCAAAACACTTGGTGTCATTTAATCTTAATCTACATAAAATTATTGTCTATTTCTTTTTAACAGAAAAGTTATTAAATTTCAACCTATTCATTCTTAAATAAAAATGCATGTATTTTTTATATTTTTGATAGGTTTTATTTAAAATAATTATACATATTTCTTTAATAACTTGACATATTTTAAAGTATTTTTTAAATTAAAAAATGCTTATATTATACATAGAATACTTGTAAATTCTTGTGATATCTAAATTATACATACATAGAAATACAATTTGGGTAAAAAATCTGATGAAATATATTTCTTTAATTGCTTTAATTTTCTTTTAATATTTTATATAAATCATAATTTTATTTCTTCTAATGAATTAATTTAATAGTTTTTATTATTTAAAAAGTACAAAAAACTAAATTAATAATATATTAAATAATTTCCATTTTTTATTAAGTGCTTATTCTTTTAATAATTATCAATAAATATTAATTAAGTATTAAATAAAACATAAAAGACTTAATATCCGAAGAAAAATGTATTTAATGTTTATTTCATTAGTATTATGAAAGGAAAAAAATTCAAATTACAAATTGAGAAAAGTTTTAAAATTTCTATATGCTCATACCATTTAAAAATGTATTTAATGTTATATTTTTTTTATCTTGATAAATAGCTAAATATAAATTATATTATATATTATAAAATAAACGCACTCATACATAGTGAATAATAAGTATCATAAACACTTTGTTTTCGAGCCACACCACAGGTTTCTCCTCTTCTCTTCCTCTCGGATTTTCGATTCAGAGACGTAACATGTTCCTTCATATTCATCTAAACTTGTTTCAAACCACATTAAACTGGGCTTTCTCCTTTTATGTTCTTTAATATTCTTTCAATTGTGTTCTCTATTCTGCCATTCTAAAAAAGAAAAAAGAAATAAAAACATGTTCTTTATTCTGCATGTTATCTTCTGTGTTTTGATTTACTCTTAGTAGAATGTGTAAATACAACCTTTTATTTTTTGTGACATTTCTGATAATAAAAGATTCATTATTGTGGCCTTATGTTGAAACTTGAAAGATCTGTTATTTTTATTTTTTTAAGACAAGAATTAGGTAAAGTTGTTTAGGTGTAGTGGGTTCTGTTTATTAATCAAATTGATAATTTTGTTTTGATAATATGTGATAATATTAAATGTAAATATTTTACTAAAATAAAATTCTAATTTTAATTGATAAACAAGACTAACAATACCTACAAAATAACACTTAACGTTTTAGTCTTGTTAATCCACTATTTTCCTATTGATTATTTGGTTTTGGAATTGATATTATACCAATGAAAGAGGGTTTGAATGGTTTATGGTGGCTAGTTATCAGGAGCTTGGTTTGTGTTTAAATGGTTTAGTACACTTTGAAATCATGGTTCTTAAATTTTAAAAATTAAATTAAATTTATAAATTGTTATATCATTAAAAAAATTATTTTTATGATAATTACTTTAAAAGTTATATCTAATGTGTTATCTAATTAGGTGAGAATACAAATGCATCAAAATTAAACTCAAATTAAACACACAGATATATGAGGTAGAAAGAGACAAATATCATTAGTTTTAATTTTTTGTCAAGTCTATTCAATCTCATAGTCCCAGATAGGATCTGTCAAAATGAATCTACCATCCACAAGCAATCTTAATGTCAGTGGATTTGGTCATGTAATTGATTAAGAGGGAAAAAATACAAAGCAAGAAAAGCCTAAGATGTTGTGCACAAATAATGTCTGTATTCATCAGTTGCAACAGTAAGCCATAGTTTCAAATCAACCCGAGTCTCATTCGTTACTTGTGTCACATTTTTTTTCCTTAGCTTTCGTTTCTTTATGCTATTTATCCTCTCATTCCTAAACCTTTGATCTAAAAGCAATTTTTCACTAAAGCAGGTACTGAGTTCGTATCTTGATCTTGATGGAGTCGGAAGAAAACAAAAGATTTGGCGAACCCTACATAAATTCTGTGCCTCAAGATGTAAGCAAACATGTTAACATCTCAACAAAATATTTCTATCTGCAATGTACTCAGACCTGATAAATATTCTCTTGTTTTCATCAAATTTTCTTTCTCTAACAGGAAACAATGAACCTACCTCAACCTTTGCCACCACCTTGGTCTACTTCTAGGAAGGTCTCAAATTTTTTATTTTTTTAAACATCGTACACTTATGCTTATCCTTCAAGGGAAACAAACAACTGAGGCTCTGTATCACTTTTAACTAGGATTATCATGATTTTGGGTGTACTCCAACTTCAAGTCTAAATCAAGCTGGTTCTTACTTTTATCCCTCCTGGTTGGCAAATCAGGTAGTGATATACATATCCATGCATTTTATAGCTGATTGTCTATTTTAACTATGATGAAGGGACTACTCATGTGCCTTGTCTTCATGTTATATCTTGTTTGGTACAGACATGGAGCAAGCCACCTCAATATGATTCTCTTTATGATCATAGTAGGCTCTCCAATTACCCTATGGCAGCTGAGGTAACTCTAATTCCTTAATCATTTAATAAATTTATTAAGTGTAGTTTCTTTATTTTTTCCTTTCATAATTTCTGTTAAATTGAAGTTGCCAGTTGCTTTAGATTTGATGGAATATACATATTTTCTAGATTTTCTTCCACATTCTTTTACATGTAAATCGAAGTGTATATGTTTATACATTCACTAATGTATATAATACAACTATTTTTGAAGGTTGGTCAGGGCGCTCCATTAGCTTGTAAAGATAAAATACACGGGACTTTTGTCGAAAGCAACATGAATTCAATGTACACATTTAACAAGAGCTTACAACCTATTAGTGAAGTAACTGAGGAATCAAGAAAAAATGGGAAAAGATCTTTGATCCCACAAACCAACTGGGAAGGACTAAAATGGAGGTACATTTGTTCTTTTGGTGAACATAATCAATTCTTATTTTTCCTAACTTAATCTGCAAATCGATTGTGCACCAGTGCGGCAAGTGAAAGCATGGGAACACCAGTTAACAATTATTGTGGATCTACTAATTTTTCATTTAAGGTGCATATACATATAAGCAATGTATATCTATTTTGTCACCACTTATATTTAGAACTCATAAACAGTGATAATTTAACAAGGCACTAAAACATGCTAATGTTTTCATCTGTAATGGTTCAGAATGCCTATAATCTTTGTTCCTTCAGCTGCAGAATTTCCCTTCAACTGAGAAGCAGCAGTCCAGTATGATGCCTGGAAAGGGTATGTTTGAAGTTCATTGGTTTGTTATATGAAAGATGAAAATTCATGCTTTATGATTTATGAGTTTTGAGCAGGGGGAGGTGCACATGTGACTAGTATTGAAAACCGTAATGCTATTCATGAGAATAGAATTACTGCATCAGATCATCTTGAAGCAATTCTAGCTAAGCTGAATCAGAATTTGGGTACGGACCTCAATGCATCCGAAGCTAATCCTCAACTTGAAGACAAGGTACTCAAATTTTTTACGAAATTCAATTTAGGACTTTTTTAACCTCTTCAAATAAGAAAAATCATTCATATAATATTTACATTTAATATTAATTCTATAATTTTGATAAATAATATATTAAAAATTATTCATATTTTTTTAAGTAAAACGTATTTAATATTTTCTTCGTTTAAACAGAAGAATGAAAAAACACTTCATTGTTGCATGTGGTGTGATAAACACAAGACAATAATATAGATGACATATATTTATACACAAGGGGACATCTCCATTAGCTTGAGTAAAGTAATTTATATTTTTAATCTTTACTATGAGTTAGCTATAAAATATGGGGATTCAATTATTTTTGTATCCATTATTTTTATAGAAAGATTATTAAACATAAATATATGTAATGAAAAAGAATTGCATCAGCTATAAGTATAACTTTGTCATTCACCATGCTAATTATTTACTTGTCAAGTTTATTGGCATTTGCATGCAATCATCATTCTCTCTTTCCTAAATTGCTTCAGCTGCATTTACTTTGATAGGAAAGTGAAGAAACAAGACAACGAAAAAAACGGACACAAAATGAATCATGTAAAAGATCAAGGATGAAAAATAAGGTATCTATAATTTCCCAATTGAAATCTATTTTTTTTTTAATTAACACTGCTTGTGTATAATATTCCATTTTAAATGTAAATTGACTTAAAAAGAAAATTTTATTGTTTCGTACATATTTATTTACAGCATTTAATTATGTAAGTAGAGATTATATTAAGACGTACTGAATGATTCAAATTTTATCTTAACTGTCATACTTTATCATTCATTAACAATATTTTAATTATCTAGTTCTAATTATAATTTCTTCCTTCCTAAATCCTCTTCCAAAGAAGCATCCACTACTCACATACACTGATACAATACATATTTATGTTATATTTCTGAAAGTGTAATTATTATTTTTAAGTAGTAATTTTGTGATATTTTAATATATTTTATATCATATAATTAATTAAAAGAATATATTTATTCTTAAACTTTTTAATTAGGTAAATTTTTTGCGTAATCTAAAAAAAAATATATATATATATATATATATATATATATATATATATATAAAAGACAGAATCTTCTCATATCCATATAAATTTAAAAAAATTTATACTTGATCTGAACTTTTCATTTAATTTATATCTAACAGATTATAATTTATTATTTCACAAACCATTAAATGTAAATTAAATAAAAAACTCATATTGAGTGTAAGAGTTTTTAGACTTATGTTAAAAAAAGAAAAAGTTAAAAAATTTAAAGAATAGTGTTACAATGCATGCTTTAAAATCATATCTTTGACGAACCAGTAAGAAAGTAAAAAATTTTACCTTTTAGTCATCTATAGTAGTTTCTTTTTGGAAACAGATTATTTTTTAGCACTTTAATCATGTCTTTAAAGTTGATAAATATATGTATTGTTATCCGTTATTTGTATGTTTCATCTTGGCAGAAGGAACATGAAGAGCTAAGTAAAACCGTGGACCATCTTAGTCTCAAAAACTCTCTACTCAAGAAAAAGATCCATGACCTTTCTCATGAGTGTGAGGAGCTCACAAATGAAAACAATTCCTTACTGGTTTGCCATTTAAATCCCTAGTTGTTCAGTTATTTACCCTTTAATTATAGGTTTTTAAGTTGATTGACTTAAATACTTAGATTCCCATAATAAATAAATAATGAATGAATGAATGGTCCCCATGTTACGTTCAATCTTTGAAGCAGTTTGAATAGATCCAACTAATTATATACTGAAAGCTAAAACGCACAGATTTTATCTAAAAGGAGACACATGGGACACTTATGTTGCTTTATTTTGCATGATATTTAGCATCTGATTTGGTGTGTTGTGGGGACAGGAAGAACTGGTTGAGAAGTATGGGCTAGAAACAATAGTGAATCTTATGAACACAAAGCCTACGTGACTTCGTTGCTGGTGATGATTGAAGCTGAAACAACAGTTGATGATGTAATTTACAACTTATCATAACTTATCATTTTAACATTATTACAGGTCGAACAGGAGTTTACTCCTAAAATATAAACAAATGTTAAGGGGCATAGTAACGTTATTATTTATTATCTAGTAACTTTCAAAATATTTTCATAGAAATTTATAATACTTCCCAGGTTGTTGGATCAACATTAAGACCTTGTTATGGATCTTTGAGAAGCTTGTTTGTGCCAAATTTCCTTCCCTCCTTTATCTGCTGCATTTTTACAATATTCATGGAAAGGAAGATAGGATAGTGACTTTATGAAAACTTTGGGTTATTATACTATGAGCTTGGACAAAAAAAAATCAACTAGAATTAAATCAATGAATAATAGACCGATAAATTTACCAATTCAATGATCAATCCACTTTAAAAATATAGATAAAAAAACTCCCATACAAGATTTTTCACGTACTGAAGGACAAAATAGGTCAGTTACCTTAAGTTGCAAAAGGATCTTCTAAATTGCAAGAAAGAAGGGAAAAGTGTCAGAAATAAGTAGGTTAAAGGAGAGAGTGAAAATAGGAAGGTAAAATGAAGAGAAGGGAGGGCATTTTCATTCCAAGCAGGGAGTGGAAAATTAACTCCAAATTTATTTAGAACAAAACGGCATCGTTTCCGATCTATATGGGTAATCCATGTGGCACTTGTTGATACATATGTGTAGTCCACATGCCTGCTTGATGATTTCATTACACTGGCTTCATAGTTGTCAACGAAAGGATTATATTGTCAAGAATTTGTCACATTTGGGAACTAAAACTACACACGTTTAGGAACCAAATTAACACAAACAAGTTATTATTTTCGAAGACTAAATTATTCAAATTCTTTTTTTGGTATTAACTATTCAAATTCTTTAAAACTATTCTCTACACTACTTTCTCCCTCTGTTAATGTCCTCTCATTTAATTTGACGGAATTAGATCACTGCTATTCTTGAATAATAAGATATAGCCATGTTGAAAAGAAAAAGCTACTATTTTTTATCAAGTATAATCAATAGATCCTACAACTAACCCTATTATGAGTCCTTATTAAATGAAAATTGTGTCTTGTTTCCAACATGATATTTCCTATACTCCACAACAGGAAAGGATCCACATTGTAACATTGCATGTATATATTTTCCAATGTGAATATGCGGTTGAGATGAAAACAACAAAAGCTTTAAATTGGCATACAGCAAATATTACAGAAGAAATCTTACGTAAGCCCCCCTACAGCAAGCACAAAAAACAAAACAAAAGAAAAACTGAACAATATCAAATGGGGCAAAAAGCATAACTCAATGTGCTCATAAAATGATATCTTTTTTGACCTACATGTATGCTTATAACTAATAAAAGCTACTGAAAAACTGTTCTAAACAATTAAGACACCATGAGAGTATACCCTCAGCTGCAGAGGCGAGGTTACCAATCTGAGCCATCAGGGAAAGGTTTGAGAGCATCCTGCTTCCCATTAACATAGTATTCAACAATTGCTTTCATTCTAGGAAGCTTATCAGGGTGGTAATTCACATGAATAATTACGGGCTTCAATTTGCTGAGATTAGCATCATTCCTCACTGTCTTGAACAGAACCTTGCTGTTCATAAAGAGATAGAAATCCATAGTTCGTCTGGCAGCATGGAGCCCATCATAACCAGGATGTGAGGGGAAAGAGAGTTCCTCATTGAAAACAGCCTGGTCCCATGCATTCTCCTTGGAAAGTCGTGTTGCCACACGATCCAAAAGCTCAATTGAAGGGAGTGTCGGTCTGATATAGAAGAAACCAGAGTTGTACACCCATATCCTCATAGTATGAGCAAATCGAGCCCAACCCATTGCAGGTTCATCAAAAACATCGTTATAGCCATAGGCTGTCATGTTATTATGCCCATCACTCATGGATTCCACATCTGAATCCCGGTATAGATAATCAAAAGGATTCTGAAAATATAGAATGTCAACATCTGATAGAAGAACACTATATCCCAACTGCAAAAATTCTCTTAGAATACGAAATTTAAGAGCAGAGACAGCATGGTTCCCCCCTGCTCTTCCAATGGCATCAACACTGTCATCTGGGTCTCTTCTATACACTGGGACTTGATTTGATTCACAAAACTTTGCAATCTCGTCATCTAAAGCAACAACTAGATAATTGGGTATGCCAACTCTCTTGATATTAGTGAACCAGACTTCCAACATTTCCTTCACATTGCCATTTGCAAGTGCAACTATAAGCTCCCGATTAACTGCAACTTTCTCTAAGATCTTTGCCAATCTGGGGTTCACAGATTCATCAGGAACAACAGTAGGGTTGATTCTTAATCCTTTTACAGTACCAAAAGGTCCTGCTTTGGGCTGTTTACCCAATGCAAGAAACTGCTTTTGCGCCTGGTCTTTCCCTTGCTCTGCAAGCCGAAGCCTTTCAGTCAATTCCCTCACCTGTTTCTTCAGTTCAGCATTTTTCTCTGATACCGCGACAAACTCTGATTTCAACATGTTGGTCCGATCTGAGGATTCACATCCAGCTGAATTTCCCTGACAAAAAACAAAATTCACCATAAAAACGATGTTGTTATGCTTCACACCGAAAGATACTAATCCTATAAACCAATCACATTAGCCACAACTCCAATCAACTTACAAATAAAATTCCACTTTGACATGTACGCCAAAAAAGTGCTTTATAGTTTATCCCTAGGCAGGAAAATCTACCAAACAGACAGTTTTTACTTCAAGATCAACCAATGTAGGCAAAAAGGCAATATTGAACCAAACACTGAAAACTAGCATCATGACAAGCAAAAGTGACAAATGTTAAAATCTTAAAAGAGGGGAAAAAGTTTGTTTGTTTCTCCAGGGCTATAATGAGGGTGAACAGATCCAAAGTTAGTACAATCAGCAAGATCAAACACAATTCAACAATGATACAAAAGAAGCAGTTGGTCAGAACAGAGGAATTCCCAGTCAACGAAAACCAAAGAAGAGACCGAGATTGAGATGAGACCCACAAGTTGAAAGAGAGAAAGAGCAAAAGCTAAAGTCTTTGAAGAAAATGGAACCTGGGTCTTGGATCCCGCAAGTGGAAGATTGCGATTAGGGTTGGTGACAGTGTTAGAAACGAAGAAGCCATTGGGGAACAAGAAAGCGAAGATGCACCCAATAAGGATCCCAATTGCTACTGCGGTTACGACCCTTGATTTGCGTAGAAAATGTGTGTTGTTCCTCATCAAGGGTCCTTCTCTGTCTCTGCGTCCAATCATTGTCCCCCCTCAAACCCCGAGATGAAATGGTGATTTTTGTGGTTCTTGGGTTTTCACTATTTGGGATTAAGCGGAAAGAACAATGGAGCAATCAGGATTGTTGTTGTGATCATGAGCATTCCCTTTGATGTTGGTAAGTGATTGCGATTCAGCTACAAGTTTCTCAGATTCTTCTTATACCCTCACCTAACGTTTTTCGTGGAATACTTCTTCATGAAAGTGAAAGAAGACAATTGAGGAAAAGATACCAAAGCGCAAGTTGAGAGCTGAAATGCATATTTTATAGTATTTTTCCAATTAAAAATATCATATCCTCTTACCAACCTGAATACAATTTTTCAATATATAATTTCCTCTTTGAAGCTAACAATTTGTGCAAATTTATTTTTTGAATCAAATTAATATTTTTATTTTTTATTTAATTGTAATTCACGTCCGTAAGTTAATTGGAATTTAAACTAAAAATTTTTAAATTATGATGACAAAATCCTAAAATTCTAACTTTGGGGATCAAAAGCAAAATTGATATAAAAGTTGTATATGATATATAAAATTTTCAAATATAATATAAAACAACTCAAATAATATGATTCAACGCCATAATTACTTATTACAATATATTTATAAAATTTTCATTGCATTCAATAAATATGAAAGAATTATTTCACCTTTTATATTTGAAAATTTATGAAAACTGTATTGTAAAATAAATAGTAATTATTATAAATTTTAATACCAATATATATATATATATCATTAAATACTATATTTATTAAATATAATATAAATATATTTAAATAATATGATTAAATGCTATATTCATCTAGTATAATATGTTTGACTTTTTATATTTATAAAAGGTATTAAAAATTGTATTATTAAATAATTAGTAAGTATTATTTAGTCTTTAATATAACGTTATTAATTTTTTAATGGCATGTCTCACTCTTGTTGACTATGATAATAATAGTTACGAGTTTTTAAAAATAATACTATTAATAAATTATAGAAATTTGAAAAGTAAAATATTTAATTTTATTCTTACAGATTAATAATGTTTTTAATGTGATTCTATAAATTATGTAATTTATTTTATATCAATTTTTATATAAATTTTAATTAATAAATTTAATTTGTTATTATTAAATACATAAAATAAAAGTATGATGAATAAAAAATTTTGAAATAATTTTAAATTTATGTTTATATGAATTTGATTTTATTATTTCAGAATTTTTTATGAATAAATATAACTGAAAATAAGAATAGTTTTAACACATGTGTTTGAAGTTAACATAACTCATAATAAATTACATAAATCAACAATCAAACTAAGAAATATTTTTTTATTAAATTTATCAATTTATGTTTGTTACATTTTGTGCATTTATTTTTATTATTTAAAAATATTTTTTTTCTGAATAATAAGAAAAATCATAAAAATGTTAAATATGTTTCTTTTGTATAATTTTTACAGTGTGTTCTATTTATTTAATAATAAAATTTATAATTATCAAAGTAAAATATTTATTAGAAAAAAAAGTCAAATATTTAATATATTAAATTGAGTAAAATACACTTTCTTTCTCCGTAAGATATAAATGTTATATTATCATTCCTTCTTATTATAAATAATATTATTTAACTCATTTAGTTTTAAACCGTTACATATATTTTGTAAAAGATTATATATATATATATATATATATATAAATTTATTATTGACTTATATTATAACTTTTATTCGTATGTTTTAATTAAAATTGTTTTACGTTATACTTTTTTAAAAAAATATGTTTTTTTTAAATCATATATATTTTTTGAAAAAAATAATTTTATTTGAGTCAGCTATAACTTTATGAATAAATAAAAAATTTAAATACTTAACACAACTGTATTTAATAAAAATTGAATTCAAAATCATAAATTAACTTATAACAACTTACGTCTACATAGTTAATGGTAAAAGTTGTTTATACCTGTGATTTTTTTTAAAAAAATTATTTTTTATTATTTAACGGCAAGATAAGTCTTAATAACTCTTATAACAACAATAAATACTAATATTTCAAAAATAAACACATTAACCTTGTTGAATTTCTTGAAAATTTGATGAAGAAAATGTAAAATTTATTCAAAATAGTATTTTAATACAAGAAAATAGTAAATGAATTAAATTATTACGTTTTTTTTAAGGAGAAGTGTTATGATATTTTAAAATAAATAGAAGAGATCTCTCTCTCTATATATATATATATAATTGCATATCTAATTTACTTTATTTTAAAATAACCATACCTAACAAAGACAAATCCATCCTAATCTTACATTATTATATTATAAACAAGCACAAATTTAAAAATGATTGTGACTTGAAGATTAAATTGAGATACGTGCTACTTGTGAGGTGGAGGTAACCGACAATCATATATGGTGTGAAACTGTTGTCACAGTGAGCATGACTATGTGCAGTGAGCGCACCGGTTATAATTTGAAATAGAATGTACGGAAAGTGTTGTTTGTGATTGATTATGTTTGTGTAGAAAGTGTTAGAATACATGTGGAGTATATAAGGTGAGTCCCTATATTTTTCAGGTGACTAAGACGATCAGCACTGGGCTCAATAAAGAGATAGATGAAACTGCTATAAGGCTTAGATTTTATTTTGAAATTACGATATAATTGAATTAGTCTTGTAACAGTCATTGATATAAACTTGTAATCCTTTATTATTTTGAGATGCTTGATAAAACTCTGATGAAAAATTTTATTATTCTTATTTTATAAAATTTATTATTTTAAAATTAAATTAAGGTGTTACATTTGTGATAAGTCCTTACAAATTTTTTTGTTAGGATGTAGTTTCTAAAAAGTTAGAAATTTAGAATTTAGTCCTCTTACTATCAACTTTTTTTTATTAAGTGTTGTACTGACGAACAGAAAGTCAGTTCAGCACTACTACTTGTCATGTCACATCATTTATTTTGTAATATTTTATTATTTAAAATAAATATTTATAAAAAATCCTTAACATATTTTATATATTTATAAAACAAACATTCTTCTTCCTCCCCAATCCCCTCCCTTTTCAACCAGCGGAAGCTCCACTTTTCTCATCTTAACCCTTATCTTCTTCAGTCTCTCCTTCTCAACCCCTCCACGCCTACCGTCAACCTCCCCGCAGACCTTTCTCATCCCCTACTCCCAAACCCACTCCAACCTTCACCCCTTCACTATGACCTCACGTTTACTCCCTTCTCCTCAACCCCTCCACCTCCACCTCCACCTCCACCACCAAACTCCCGCTGCAGTCCCTATCCTTCCTCTCCCTCCCTCCCCATTCCCCAACTTCCAAACCCATCTCAAACCTTCACTCCTTCACCATGACTTTCACATTCAATCCTTCCTCCTCAACCCCTCCATTCTCACCGTCAATCTCCCTACAATTCCTCCCCATCCTCCCACTTCTAAACTCATCCCCAACCTTCACCCCTCCGCAAACCTCCTAAGAAATTTTAATTACCTAATCTCTCCTAATTCGAGTTAAATTTCTAGTAAAGCAATAAAACTATATGTTCACAAAGTTCGTGTGTGCGATCCCAAATTCAAAGCCACTTTTCGTTAACAAACACCAAGCAACGTGCTTAAAAATCCATTCATTTTTAATGATAATTTGAGTGAGGAAGGGAGGAATTATGTAGAAAGAGTGGATCCGGGAGGTTGTGGACTATCTAAGAGACTGCTATCATAGCCGACCTTACAAGAGTTAGAGCTACAGAAGAGAAAAGAAGAGGATCTTTTTATAAATTTTAAAAATTTGTCAAAGTTTTTTTATAAATATTTATTTTAAATAATAAAATATTATAAAATAAATGATATGACATATATTACTGAATTAATTTTTCATTTACCAGCTTAACACTTAATAGAGAAAAATTGATAGAATAGACTAAATTCTAAATTTCTAACTTTACAAACTACATCTTAACAAAAAAATTTATAAAAACTTATTACAAAATGACTTATATTTATATGAACAAATAACATATTTAAGCCAAAAAATTAATATAAAAATAAATAAAACTCATTTTATATTACATATATTACAATGTAAGTTGCAATGACAGAACGAATTGATTCACAAAATTTGCCAAAAGGATGCAGGATGTTCAATCCTTCAAAAGTACAATAATAGATGAATGATGAATCCTCAAACATTCACAACTCACATGACAAGCATAATATACATAAATTATAATTATACAGTTGTTCACGCACATGATGGGCACATATAATCATGAAACAGGACAACGAAGTTGCCAAAACGAGTTGTTGTTGTTGAATCAATTTTCAACTACATAGCATGCAATTGTGAATTCAAGGGTAGTAAAATTGAATCAATTTTTAATTTCTTGTTTGTTTATTAAAAAACAAAGTGATAGCCTAAGAACACAAAGTGATAGCCTAAGGTTGAAATTTAACTGCAGATGATCATTAGCTATTGACAGAAATTAAGCCTTAGTCTATTGACATCACATTGACACAAAGTTACAGAAGAGATTGAAATCCAACGAGTTCAGAATTATATTCTTTATTGTTTGCCATTGTAATTTTGACTTTTAAGAACAAGGGGTGTAACAAAGGCCATAACAAAAGCAAATGCCGGTTGTTACGTCAACATTTAATAATACTCCCAAGTTAACTGCTATGAAAATTACTATTTACATCCAATATGTCCATTTCCTAAGTGTGGCGGGTAGAAATGAAGAAAAAATAAACAAAACTGAAAATGTTAGCATAAGTAATACAAAAACACAGCACCACATGGAAATTATAAACTTGTCTCCTTTAAAAACTAGCCAAACTATTTTAGTCTAACAACGGGAAAGAAAACTGCTTAATCTTCTTCTGATTCTGCATCCTGAACCTGCCTCTTTGGGGGTTCAATCTGATTTGACTCCCTCCCAACTGGATGAATGAGATTTCTAATCATCTGATTTGCTGATACAGAAAATAATCAAATAACCATACAGATTTCTTAGCTGAAAAATAAATAACAGACCAAAATATATTTTATAATTGAGGAAAAGCAATCCATGCAACGACAAAAAGACCATAAGCTCACATGCGAAGGCCACAGTAAATAAAAGCTAATGTGCATTGAACTAAAAAAGGCCAAGTGAAATTACATGTTTTAATTTTATAGAACAGTTTGCACTAATATGTCTGGTAATACCAAAATAGCATTATGTTCCTAACAATAATCTCATGACAACATATAACATACCCACTAAATTATACCGAATACTGGACACAGAATAGAAAATCTAAATGGTTTAAACTTCAAACTAGTACCGATCTTCCATTGACCCATTTTGTTTTCTTTTAGAACAACAGATTGGAACTGAAATGGAGAGCTTAATGGCATATATAAAGTTATGGACTTCACATGCATACCTGTCATTAACACCTTAACTACAAGAGTTCTTGCAAACTGCAATTCTGCTTGGTGTGCACTAATAAATTTACTCTGCAAAGTCAGAAACCAATTAATAAAATTATTTTGAGAGAAGAATAAATATTTTTTAAGGAACTTAACAAATTTATTTATGATGTAATATATGCTATACGCAACAACATGAACAATGGAGAAGATTGCCAAGTCAAGCCCAAGCAATTCATAAAATAAAACTGGCGAGTAGCACCTTCTTAACTCGCTATCATTTGCATGCAAACAGTACCAAGACAGGAAATAATAATAATTTTAAAAAACAAAAGAACAAGTTTTTGTGAATACTGAGTAGTGATCAAATAAACTAATACTCTGCCCTAACTGCCAAAGAATAACCCACAATTGGAAAATCAAACCAGATAAAAAAAATGCATTTTCAACAATAATGAAATCTATAAACTTCTTACCATTTCACCATACACAAATTCAACAATCAGATCCAGTCTAACTTGATGCTTCAGCAGGAATGGACGCAAATGACTAGAATACAATTGCTTTGCACCCTGTTTAACAAGTACCACACGGCATTGTGATAAGGAGTAAAAGAATGGAAGGTGAGGTATTTCCCTTAAGAACTAAAAATAGCAAAACAACCAAAGTCAAGGTTATTAACTAAGCAAATTCTGAAAGCACAGCATGGAAATGAATAAATACAGCAGTTTGGTTAAGCTTACATTGATAGTGGGAAGCTGTAGCCAAACAAGAAATGCAAACTTCAAGTGATAATAGAGTGGAATCCTAATCAAATATGGTGAAAAATACTTGTTAGAACACAATATCTCAAGTAAAATGTGAAAGCAAACAGAAACAAATCAGGGCTGAAATCCCTAATGTTATTGATTCAGTCATTCACGAGATCATAAATAGCAGATTACTGGGATCACAAGAGAAATGAAGAAAACATAGAAATAACTTTGTTTGCAAAGAAGATCTGAAATAGATACCAAGGTAAATTTTCCATGAAAAAGAAAAACTGAAAAATCATAAGTTAATAAAACAAATGGAGAACTTAGCCGTACCAAGAAAGTAATTTTTCTGTAAACATTTCTGCAACACTAAAAGATCCATAAGCTGAAAACCACATGACAGAGATCAGTGTTAACACGTACGAAGATAAAGTCATCAACCGAATGAACTCATAAAAAGTAAACAACCACAATAGCACATCAAAGTTAAACCCAGATTACAAATAGCATGTCGGAATCCATGTTGAAACGAACATGGATCCATGCTTGTTTCAACACTACTAACTGTAACTTCTGCATTGGATTTGTATTTATAAATTTTTCAACATGTTTCCAAGTGCACTAATAAAACAGATAACTGCTTAAAGTTACTCTCATCCCACTAACTTGAGAATTCTTCAAACACATTCATTCAAATTCACAAGCAATGACATAGAACTTCCAACGATATAACTTCACGCCATAACAACCACCAAATTTTTCATAAGTTGTATGTACAAGGAAAAACCAACATAGTCCCCTTAACCTGCCTCCCAAATATATATGAATTCTGCACATCATAAAGGCATTAGCATAACTAATATCAATTAAATTAAAAGAAAAACATTGCTAGCAAATAATAATAATAATAATAATAATTGATCATTTAATTTTCTTTAAAAAGGAAATTGGCGTTGAAGAAAAAGTAGAACCTGCCCAATACAACAGCCACCTGTGTTGCTCATATGGGTCTTTGTTCTCAATAGCTTTAAACGTAGAGTAAACGGGAATCACAAGCCCTACAGAACAGCTATAAAAAGTAACCCATCATCACTGAAGTGAAAAGGCTACTGAGTTTAACAAAATAATTTCTTAAATTTTTCAAGAGAATTAAATTTTGATTTAAGCTTGCAATGCATACCATGCAGTCCGAACAACAACGTTTGAATTTAAAGGGCATAGGAGGAGTCTCAACCCGACCTGCATCAGCAACATACGAAAGGTGTTAGAACAGAAACAATTTCAGAGAGAGAGAGAGTGATGGGTAACGAACCTCGCTTGGTGAAGCCATGAAAGAGGGAATTTAGGTTAGGGATTTCAATCCAAAAAGACACGACACATTGTTTTGTTTCTTCTTTCGTGCAACAGAAAAATCAAAATGTAAAGGTTGTGGATTCGTTCATTGAGGGAACTTTCTCTGCACAGTTATCACGTACCCTATAATTTAGGAACCCTTATCGTATTATGCTACGATTTCCCTATGCTTTGTCAAAACTAAAATTAAGTTTAAATTATAATCTTACATTGTATTTCTCTGCATAATTCGAACATAAAAAATATAACTATAAACTAGTTATTATTTTGATAAAATTAAAATTACATTCAATTCTGAATTACAATTTCACACTCCAACCACGCCATATTAAAACTACGTCAATCTTTTCTATTGCGGGGGCAAAATGACATTGTCCCCACGTCTTTTTCCAGAAAAGCTTCAATCTCTATAATTCATAGACGAATGCTTTAATAGTTAAATTGCATGGAAACAAAATAACACAGTTAAAATCACGAAATGATACAATAATATATGTTAAAACCACATATAAAATTCAAATAAAACAGATTTTTGCTTTAATTACAGAGTTTATATTAAACAAGAGAGTTTAAGATGTAACTGGTAAATAATTTAATTAAAAATTTATTCAATAATAAACTCTTGCATTCAAATATTTATAAACTTAACTATAGGAATTAGATAAAAAGTTGAAAATAATTAAATTTATAAAAATAAATTAAAATAGTTTTGAAAAACAATAGATTATTTTCATAAGGTTAAATAAAATTTATAAAAGCTTTCCATGTGTTCTTTTATCATAGTTTCTTTTTTAGTTCTTATAATCAAATGCATGCAAAAATTATTTAAATTTACGAGCATCACGTATTGAAATGAAATGCAGGAGAGTTTCATGGGCCTGGTGCTTTAGAGTGAAGATAGCCATTTAGGCAAGTGGTTCATAACAGTGCAATTGGTCAATTTAAGGATCCAAAACCTTAATGGGCCAGTTAGGGTGGGCTACCCATCTATGATTGGAATGGAGATCGGGCTTCGTAGATAGCCAATCCACCCAAACTAACTTACTTTAATTATCAACAGAAACTTGTGACCCCAAAAAAAAAAATCAATCTCAACAAAAATTTGGTACTGACAAAAAATGAACCGACCCAAAAATACACATAACTCATATGAAGGTTCTGTGGCGACCTGTTACCAACAAAAAAACATTAAAAATAGTTTTTTTCTTTGACACCTTTTAGTTCATCCTTTAGGTATGTTTGGGAAGAAAAGAGATAAGAGAAAATATTTTTCAATTTTAAATTAGAATAATTATATATTATTTATGATGATAAATATATTATTAATACATTAAATTTTTATTAATATATTAATTTATATCTTTTATTTTTTTTAAATATTAATTTTAAATATATTTATTTAAAATATAAATTTTGTCCTCCCCTCTAAGATCTTCTTTTCCAAACAACTCCTTAAAATTTAGAGGCAACTTTTAAAATTCATCTTTACATTTTAAGTATATCTCTTATATGCAAGCATAAAGTAAAAATAATAATATGTATAGTATTAATTTTTAGTTTAAATAACAAAATTAAAAAGCATTTTACAATAAAGACCTTAGGGGGAGGGGTTGAGTGTGTTGGGGGATAACTCATAAAAGTATAACATTCCTTAGCATTATTTTTTCAAGATAAGCAAAGAATGAGCATCAGGTGGCAAATTCTCTACCAGTAGTTTTCTGGTAATGAAAAGCTAATTTAGCTAATAAGTGAGATAAATTTCTTTTATTAGAATTCCATGTTTTTATTTAGATAACTTTAATTTTTTAAAATAAATTTTATTTTTATTTTATAACGACATAACATACATCTAATTATATTACAGTAACCATTCTTAACTAATGAATGATATAACATATTTAAATATACATTACGTTATTAACAAACAATAACAAAATTTGTATTAAAAATTTAAAATCAATAAGAAAATTAAAAATTAAATAAAATTCAAGTACTAGACCTACAAAACTAAAAATATAATTGACCCTTAATTAATTTAAGTGGGATTATCTATAGGTTTTTGTTTAACAGATAAGATAGCCGAGGCTGAGATAGATATTAAATCCCACTACGCTGCTCTTACCTTTTGTAAGAAGCAAAAGAAAAATCAGCGCCCAATTAGTGGAATTTTATTAGTGTTAATGACGTAGGATTAACATCCATCATGAAAAGCATCTTCTGATCAGGATATAGTCCTTCTTGGAACAAAAACTACTACCACTTGATGATTAAGTTTTATTTATACAGCAATTTCTTTTACAAATTTTAATAATTATTTATTATTAAAATCTGTAATATTTATTATTATTATTATTATTAATTAAAATCTGTTAAAAACTAAAAAAGTACAAAAAAAATTAATTTTAAAATAAAATAAAATATACAAAAATATTGACTTTATGATTGCTAAATCATGTCAATTAAGCTCAAGCCACAACCACTCATTACATTCTTCATGTCTCAATAGAGGTAGTAAGATATATGTTGCAGCGCGATTATATGTTAACGTTTCGAAGTGCTTTTTGCCAAATCAATATTCGTTTTCTTCTTATATTATTTTCTATATACAGATTGATGCTTTATAAAATGAAAATCCACACACGTGAATATCCGATAATGTTATATCATATATAATGTACTATTCTGCCCATTATATCCATTATTTTAAACGTGATTTTTATAAGGATTGTCTAAAAAAATACTATATTACTTTTATATATAAATAGTTTCTAAAATAAGTCATAAATTTGCTGAAACTCACTTGAAACTAATTTCGCAAAATTAAATTTGCATATTCTAATCCAAATTAGTGGAAGCACACATCTCCAAATGAAACCAAGACCACCCATACCTTCTCTTCCACCACCACCACCACTATCATATATAAGTCGGAGCCTTACCTTCCACATTCCCAGAATTAGGAAAAACAAAACAACATAAACAAAGGTTCTGATGTTGTAAGGTATCAAGAAAAGGTCAAAAAAAGCCACGACATTTTGAGTCAAAATCTTCACTCACATGTATACTACTACGTGTATTGGGTCTTTGGTCCCCTAAAGAAAGCCAGAGTCCAAGTGTTTGCTTCTAACTAAGGAGAATAGTAAAGAGCGGGCGCTACTATAGTACTAGTCAGCAATGTCCCTACCAAAATTGGAACTTAGTTTGGATTTCAAATGGTGATGACGTATATGATGATGATATATTAATAAACAAAAAATAAAGAACAATTAATCTTTATGTGCACGCGTTAGCAGGAATTAATCACTCAAGTATCTATGACTAATAGTCTAAGGTGGAGTTCTTAAGGCATTCAAGGTTGCCAAGTGTGTCATGGAAAAACCATTGAGAGAAGTTCATCAACTTCAATAATTTCTAATATTTATCGTGTGTTTGTTGACTATCTTGAATAAAAAAGACATGTGAAATCAATATTGTTCTAGCTTTTGTAGATAATTTCTGGGTGCCACTTAATTTATCAAATCGTAAGGGCCTGGCAAAGATAAAAAAAATAGAGATACTTGTTGGAATCTAGTATCTACAACTTCGTAAGGTCTTAGATGTTATAATTGAGCTAAAATAATAAAGTATACGTGACTCATTTTAGACTTTCTTTCTCCCTTTCTTGGCCTAGCTCTTTGAAGAAGTGATGTCACTGTTTAACTGGAATTAATTACTTAAAATAAAATCGTAATAATTGAACTAAAGCAATTAATTAGTATATGTTCTTGATGATCAATTTAGACGTTCTTTCTCCCTTTCTCGTGGCCCAGCTGTGTTGCAGCGGTGCGATTATTTATTCTAATCAGGAGGTATTTGAAACAACTTATAATCCTATGCTTTAAATTTGTTGTAATATTCTTTGTAAAAATAATTAACTTTTTTAACTCGTTTAAATTATTATTATGACCAGATTTAAAATATAAATTATCATATTGTGTAAAGTTATAAACAATATTTAATTAAAGACACACTAAGTTATGCATTCCAAAACATCCTTAATTAGTCATTGTTATTTATAATATATAGCACATGTACTGAAGAAATAAATTAAAGCAAAGGTCAAAGGTAGGTATGGAATCGACTCTTATATTGATACCCACACATATCTATGTACATATCAGGGCGTTAACGTTACCTAGGTTTTTTAATTACAATAGAAGTCATTGCATAACTACGATTCTTATAAGAAGATTATATTATAATTATATATGTTATCTAAGAGATTTGCTTTATGTATTACTGCTTCCGTTCGAACACTGCCATGCAGTGATACAACAACATAATATAATTATAGAAACTGATTAGGTAAACCTATCAACCAGCACAAGGCCAGAATTAGGGTTAAGATGGGAAGCATTTCGAATAAGCATTGGGTAGGTTTCCAAGCCAATGGTCAAACATACAATTAATCCCCGACAACAAAAGATTCAGTTTTGTTAACAAGTAATAGTATTGGTAAAATAAAACATTTGGTATATATTTTATTAAAGAATAACATTAATTGTTTACCAAATACTTGCTATTTTTTTATTTCAATATAATAAACATTTTTTTCATTTCTTTAAATATTTTGAATAAACAATTCATGCAAGTTACTAAATGGTTTGACTAATATAAGTGAAATTACTAACACCATGAATCAAATAGTAACAAGAACATCGTTTCCAAGTACTGAATATATACACGTTTTAAAACTTTTAAAAGGTGTTTTGCATTGTACGTGTCAATATATGATAATAACTTTTAAAAAGGTTTTTTTTAATTAAAAATATAAGTTATTTTTTAAGCTAAAATGTGCGATAGAATTAATGTATTAAATATTGTTTTTACTTTATTTTATCTATTGATTTTTTTTCTTAGCAAGTCTTTAAAAATAAAAATTAAATATATTTTTAATGGTTTTTATAGAAGGAGTTTTACATGATGTGTCAATAGACACCTGATAAGATATCATTAAAAAAGAAAAAATAATTAATAATGAATTTTTTTTTTACCAAAATATCTTTTAATGTTTTGGGATGACAACAAGCAAGATTTAGCTGGTATTACAGTACCTATTTTGATTCTTGTATTTAATATATAGGCATCTACTGATATAGTCTATAGAACTATTAAAAGTTCATTAGTTT